TGGGTGAGTTGGATGGGGCGAGGTCTCAGAATCAGTAGGGTGAAGATGCAGAGCTTACCAGGCCAATCAGATTCAGATTTGGCCTGTGGGGGCAGACTCAACACAGGAAAGATGGCAATCACCTGCTGGCTGCCAGGGTGGTGGACCCCACACAGGGAAAATGGTGACTGTCCTCCAGCCCTCACCCTGACACCCCTCCCCTCACGAGTTACTGTCCCTCCTCTGGATCCCAAGATGAGTGTTCTGCGAGTGAGAGTCTGTGCATGGGCCATTTAAGAGGACGTCTGGGTTTCTTGCCACCTTCCATCCCACTCACATGGTCGGAATCCCCACTGTTTTTCACAGCCAGATGTTGGGTGGGCTCCTTTTCCCGGCACCAGTACTCTGTACTGGGGAGACTGGTATGGGGCTGAGGTCCCTCCCTCCTCCGGGGAAATCTCCATGGCTGAGATATTCCTCACATTTTTCCACCTCCACATGTAAGTTTGGGGCCAGCTGGTTTTGCATCTCTGTCCCTCCTACTAGTCTCGACGTGGATTTTCCTTTATATCCTTAGTTACAAAACTTCTGTTCAGCTAGACTTCAGATGGCTCTTCAGGTTGATTGTTCTATAATTTAGTTGTAATTTTAATGTGTTCACAGAAGGAAGCAGGCACAGTGCTTATCTACTTTGCCACCTTGGATCTCTCCCAGTATTTTTATTTATTTATTTATTTATTTATTTATTTATTTATTTATTTATTTATTTATTTATTTATTTATTTTTGTGTCGGGCTTATTTTATTTAGAATAATGTCCTCAAGATTCAACCATGTTGTCACATGTGACAGAATTTCCTTTCTTTTTAAGCCTTAATAGTATTCCATTGTATGTATAGACACCACATTTTTTTAATCCATTCATCTATGGATGGATGTTTAGTTTTCTTTCATTTCTTGGCTATTGTGGATCATGCTGCAATTTAAGATAATTTTTTAAAAAGAATATTGTACATATAGTATGCTACCATTTCTAATAAAAAGAGAATGGAAGGAGGGAAGGTGCAAAGAGAAAGGGAGAGAAGGTAAGAGGTGAGGAAGGAGAAGTGAGGTAAGCAGGAGGAGGAAGAGAAGGAGAGGGGAGAGAGGGAGAGCAAGGGACTGTCTGCTCTCATCTGATGCCAACCCTTAAACTAAAACTGCCAGTTTTGCTTTGAATCCCATCCATTTTCAACTCCTTGAGGAGATAGCTCCAGAAATTCTCCCCTTTCTCCTACATTCATATTTTTTCCTTCTCCACTATATTTCCAGCTAACAAAATCCTCATTATTCTTACCACCTATCATCCCATTTCTGTGGACCCCTTTATAGCAAAATGTCTAGGATATGTGTCTGTTCTTGCTTTATCCCATTCTTTTCCATCTTATATTCACTTATCAGGCTTTCACCCTCACTCTGCACAGCAGAGAAATTAAAGAACTTGTCAGTGTCACCAGTGACCTCCACTAGACTAAATCAAATGGCCATTTATTAGTTCTTTTCCTGCTTGACCTGTGAGCAGGATTTAGCACAGCTCATGACGACCTTCTTCTGGAAGAACTTTCTTCACTTGGTTTCCAGGACACTAGTCTTCTGGTTTCCTCCTGTCACCATGGCCATTCCTTCTCAGTTTCCACTGAGGATACTCCCTATCCTTCCTAGCTTCTTAAAATTAGAGAGACCGAGGGCTCGTGCCTTGGACATCTTCTCTATTTCTTTGTGACACTCATTCAGTGTTAGAGTTTCACAAGACATCTGTGTCACATACCTCTCAAATTTGTTATTTCCAGCCTCTAAACTCTGAACTACCATATCCAACTGCCTAATCAGTGCCTCCATTTAGAAGTCCAATAGCTATGTCAAATTCTAACGTGTCTAAAAACATACTCCTGAACTTCCCTTAAGAACTTACTCCACTCTTATTCTTCCCCAAATCAGTTTACAGCAGCTCCATTCTTCCTGTTGTTCTAGTTCCAAACCTTGGAGTCATTGTGACTCCTGTTTTTTTGGGGGTTTTTTGGGTTTTTTTTCCCCCTCACAATCTCGCAACTAATCCATTAAGAAATTACATAGGCGGGGCCAGCCGAGTGGCGCGTTGGTTTAGAGTTGGCTTAGGACGCCAGCTCTGAGCAGCAGGGCTGCCAGTTCAGATCCCACATGAGGGCCAGTGATGCTGCGCCCTCTACAGCTAAGATGGTGAACAACAGCTCGACCTGGAGCTGGGCTGCCATGAGTCGCCGGCGACAGCGTAGGCTGCAGCCCCTGCTGCAGTGGGCTGCCATAAGCTACCGTGAGTGGCTGCCATGAGCTACCGTGAGTGGCTGCCATGAGCTACCGTGAGCGGCTGGCAGCCAGCGTGAACTGCCAAGAGCCACCGTGAGCAGCCGTCCAACGGCCGGTGAGTGACTGCCTCACCCGGGAAGAGTGCAGTGATCACAATTACCAACATGGGCCAGTGAAGCGACGTCCTCCACAACTAGACTGAAGAACGAAAAGGACACAACTTGTCTGCTCCCTTTCTCTAATTCCCCAGCGCCGTTCCCCTCCCCCAATTCTCCAATAAAATCTTTAGGGGAAAAAAAAAAGAAATTACATAGGCTGAGCCTTCAAAATTTACATAGAATGAGACCATTTTTTATTATCTCTCCCGCTCCCCTCTGTGCCAAGCCACTGTCTTATAGGAATAACTTGCTAACTGATCTTTTTCCTTTTGCTCCCTTGAGTCTATGATCAACAGAGCAGCTGAAGGGATCCTGCTAAAAAAGACCGTGGCACTCCTTTCCTCAAAACCCTTCAGTGATTTCCATTTCTCTGAGAGTAAAAAATCAAAATTCTACAGGCAGGACTGCATGTAATTTGACCCCCTTTTACTCACCCCTACCCTTCTTGCTCACCCTGTTTCAGTTTCACCTACCTTTACACTGCTCCTTGATCATACCAGGCCTACTCCACCTCAGGGACTTTGCACTGGCCGTTCCTTCTTCCCACAATATACTTCCCCCAAGAATCTGCACAGTGCTCTCCCTATCCTCCCCAGTCTTTTTTCAGATGTCACCTTCTCAAATATGCCGGCACCAATCATCCCATTTATAGTTGTAACCCCTCCACCTGATCCTCCTCACCTGCTTTATTTTTTTCATAGATCTTACTGTTTGTTGAGTCTTTCTCCCCTAGAATATAAACTTCATGAGGTCGGAATCTTTGTGTGTTTTGTTCACTGATGTACCTTCCCAGCACCTAAAACAGTACTGTCACATAGTAGATGCTCCATAGATATTCATTGAATAAGTGGATGAGTGGCTTTTAATTTTATAGAGTTCACAGTCATTGTCTTTCTATCACTCAAAGCCCTCCAAAGTCCAACCAAAAGCCACCTACCACTTTTTCTTCAACCAGTATACATTCAGGTATTCTATGAACATATGCTGAGTGCTTCCTATATGCCAGACCTGAAGGAGGACTGTGCATATATTAATATAAAGATTGAATAAGATATAATCCCTGCCTTTGAGATCCTCTTTCTCCTGTTAGGCTTGCTGCCCTGGGTCCAAAGAGTCCTTTCTTAACACGAATCTGAGTGGAACTCAACTTGTGACGTTTTATTTCTTGGAGCTGTCTGTTCACTCCTTGGTGTAAGTTCTCAGTTCAGTGATTGATTCCGGACAGACTAGGCATGGCGCATCCTCTTGGAATTCACACGTGGCATCCAGGTATTCTATTTTATAACAGCACAGTCTTATTGGTCACATATGGAACCCAACCAACTATATGAGTCCTTATTTCCTTTTCATTATTTACTTAGTAGTTCCTTATTACATTACTGGAACCTCTGTTTTTCTTTCTAGTATTTTTTTCCATTAGTTGTGAGCTCTTGACAGGCTGAGGTTCCTAGTGGTTTGCAGTAATTATAACTTTTTAAGTTGCTAGTGATAGAGAACTCAATTTAAACTAGCTCAGAAAGTTCAAGAGCAGTGATTCAGGAGCTTAAACGATATCATAGGTCTTGGTCTTTCTCTATCTGTAAACACCCTCTTCTCCATATTGACCCTATTCGGAGGCTCATCATGGTAGCATGATGGCCACCAGTAGCTCCAGGATTATAGAAAAGAGAAAGCTTCTCTTCCTTAAGTTCAGGTAAGAGACTTTGTCCTGATGCTCATTGGTTCAGATTTGTTCGCATGTCCACCTGTGGAGCAGGAAATGGGTAGCAAAAGAAGACAAACTATGTTGGATGTCTTAAAATTAATTAATGTTCACCCTACAGATAGCTTCATGATCCTGAACTTTGCTTTACTTCTTTAAGATGTCCCCTCATACCACCTGGAGACAGATGGTTATCCTTACCTGCATTTGTCCTATATTTTGCCTTTGGCCTTTGTAGCTGTTTCAGTCACTTCCTATTCACCCTATTGATTAGGTAAGGATTCTTGCCTTAGGGTTATGGGGATGGTTGAATACACAACACCCATCTTACAGCAGTTATGAGTCACATACACTCACAGCCCAGAGGAGGACACCATGCCACACAGGGCCACACGGGGATTGTCCTTGGGAACAGACTGAACAAACTGCCTGTGGAAAGCAATCTTTGTAGTGTCAAGAGTTGGTGGTGCCCACTGGTTCCTGTGGGAGAATGGGATGGGCTTGTTCAAATAATCCCACTGTCTGGAAGAACTGAAACCCGCTACCCAGCGATAAGCAGTGACTATGCCTGGTCCCCTTGATAAGGAGGGCTGCTTGATGAGGGGACCTTACGTGCAGGAGCAGAGTGGGGAAGGAAGTTTGCAATAGGCTATTAAAGGCTCTCCCGCTTTTACCAGATGTCAAGGCAGTACCTAACGTCAGTTCTTAATACCAGGCCTTTCTAGAACAGTGACTTGCAAGAGGTCGTGTATAGCTTTCTGGGTCTTTCTCAGAATAGTCTTTCTTTAAGGTCTCAGAATTAGAACACTTGCCTTTCTTTCCCGTGCACCTCTGTTACAGGTAGTTATCCCTGTCTTGGCCAATGAGAAGAATCACCTAGACTGGCCCCACGTGGTGTGTCGAGATGTCCAGCAGCATGCCCACAGCCTCCAGTGGGACCTCCTGGTTCTCCTTGAACAAGTGAAGGGGAAAACTTTGCTGCCTCTTCCAGTAGGCTCAGAAAAAATGGAGTTTGTGGATTCTGAAAGTGAGACCAGGTAAGTACTGCCAGCCTGGCCATATGGACCCCTGAGATATGGGAGCTGCTAGTTTTTCTGAATGTTTTCCTTACGACTTTTCTGTTCCTGACTCTGAACGTCTCCTTGCTCTGCCCACAAGCCCATTATCTGCTCTGTTTTCCAATGTCATCGAACTGTATGTTTTGTCCTGATTACTACCCTTGTCCCACTTCCTCAGCCCTGTGTCTTTTAAGGCTATCAGAGCAACGTGGCCTTTTTTGCACCCAGAATTATTTCAGGGCTGAGAGCAGCCACACTGATTTCAGTATTTTGCTTACCAGGACAGTGTCTCATCATTGGCAAAGAACCAGGTCTGGTCTGGGAGACAGCCACGCCACTTCCCAGCATCTTCCCAGCACGCAATGTCACAGAATTAACTCTGGTGTCTCTTGTTGCATTTCCAGACCCTCGTCCCACAGTAGCTGGACACTTTTTTCAGGTCCTGGGGATATTTTTTTTTGTCCCCCCTCCACCCACCCAAATAGAAACAAATCTTGCTTTGTTGGAGCTTAAAGTCCTTGCCTCCTGTGCCTCAGTAGGTAGTAAAACCCCAGCCTCTTCTCCTTTCAGGAGTGATATCCACCATCAGCTTCCACTTACCATTCCTGCTACCAGCTGTCTTTGTTCCTGTCCCATGAGGATTTATTGTTTTCCTTTCAAGCTAGGCTATGTATCTAAATGATGTATTTTATTACATTCTACTCGGGGCAGGTGGCTCCTGCTCCTAATAAGATGCTTAAGGTAGAGGGAATTCCCCAAACACAGAAATTTACCTGCTGAATCGCCAAAGTAAAAATGCCCATGACCGTTTCATTTTAAGTCTTGGTTGGTAGTAGTAAGTAAACCATTTTCTTAATGTTTTAGATCCTAATATTAAAATGTTGTGTTGGTTCAAGAGCAACATAGATGGATGGAGGACCATGACAGATCCACTATCTCTATCGTTTCCTTGGGTATCTGAAATAAAATGGCATTGGTTACATAGAACTTAGTGCAAAGCCCTGGATCCCGGCTTTTAATGCAGGCTCTGCCACTTACTGGCCAGGTGACTTGCAAACAATCATATAATCTCTCCCAGCCTCAGTTTCCTCACTTGTTAAATGGAGATGACCTTAGAACCTACCTCATACTTAGAGTTCTTGTGAGATGGCATCCATAAAGCTCTTAGGACAGTGCCACGCATATAATAGAGCTTAATAAATGGTAGCTATTATGACCAAGCTAGAGAGACTTGAGACTGGGATTGGCCAAAAGAGTCAAAATGCAAAGCCTGCTGATGTCCAGCATATACTAGACATTCACCTTCAAGGATAACTTGGGAGAAGGTCATAATGAAAGCTGAAGTGGATGACTACCAAGTTGGATGACCTCCATCAAACAAGATGGGCAAATTCCCAAATGCCAACTGGCCACAAGTGCCTGAGACTACCCAGCATTTCTATGTGATTGTGGCAACAGGCTGCCTTCCTGCATGAGCTCAGCGTGCTTAAATACCAGGAGTTTTCCAGTGTCTTACTGTTATCGTTGTATATTTAGGGCCCGTGATTTGATCTGAAGAATAAGTAATTTATGTGATGGCAGTGTGCTTTATAATGAATTTTTGCTATTGGAAGTAATTTGCTGCATATATAATTTGAAGCAATTTCCCAGTTAACTGGAAAACTTACTGTGGTTTCATAAAAATATTCCATTTCCAAAATAAATAAATTCAAATTACCCTTTTCCTGTTCCTTTTACATTTTAATATAACTTTCAGTTTATGTGTACATAATCATTGCTGAGTTTGTCTCCCATTGTTCAAATTTAATAATTTCCCAAAAGACTAGATAATATTTCAGGAAGGTGAGTATCTTCTCCCTTTAATACCTTCTGTCATCACTTGTGCCATATCATTGTTCAGCAAATATTAATTTGATTAAATTAAGCAAAGGTGGTTTTTAACATGAAAATGTGAGTGATAGACTCTCTCATTTGTATTTTGAGTTCTTGGCATGAAAACCTTATGTTAAGATTTAGTAAAAAAGCAAACCAAAATGTATTTTTTATTTTTAACTTCTTCCAAAATATTCCTGTTTATTTTTGTTTGTGTTTGTTTGCTTGTTAAAAAAGGCAAGTGAGGTAGAATGCTTGGGAATTCCATTCTTCATTGAAGAAGTGAGAACAAAGCGAAGTTAATATTGGTGTTCAGATGGCTGATGGTTTGCCTTATGGAAGAGAAAGTAACCTATTTTCTCTTGATTCAGAGGTCAGAACTAAGATCCAAATGAGGCAATCACAGGGAGGTGGACAAGGTTCGGTGTAGAGACACACTTTCCTGCAAGGAGATCTGATCTCCTGAAGAATGCACTGCTTTGTCACGTTGGGAGCTGTCATGCAAATGTCATGCTGACATTGGTGGGATTCAAGCAAGGGTTGGGTGGTCATGCAAATGTTTCCTTTCCATTTGAATGTTTTCTGTGTGCAGTGATCCAGTGGAGCCCCAAGTGCAAGTGTCCAGTGCATTTCTGCATTGACAGAAAGACTTGACAGGATTCAAAATTCTTATACTAGTCGTCAGAATATTGGTGAACCCCTGAGTCTTGAATAATTGTGTATGAATAACTGTGTATGCATGCATGCATAAGCATTTTGTCTGCGGAGAGGATCTGTACTTTTCATTGACTACTCATCAGTCTATTGTCCAACAAAAGTTAAGAATGCCTGGACTAGATGGAATTCCCCACCTATTTTAAAAAATATTTGGGATTCTGTTTTGGGGTACACCCAGAATTATTTAAAATGTTTCAGGAGTTTTTGTGTTTTTGTTTGTTTGTTTGTTTGTTTTTTGTGCTTTTCACAGCTTGGATTCTGCAGATAAGTCAGTCATTTATGCCATTGAGTCTGCAGTGATCCAGTGGAGTCACCATGTACAGGTGGTACTCAAGAGAGAATCTTCCCGGCCACCTCTACCACGGGGGAGTCCCACCCCTAAGGTGGAGTTGGAGTTCTGGAAGAGCAGGTAGGTACATGCTCAGACCCTGGGGAGTAGGTAGAGGTCCTACAGAGGGTGGTGGCCTGGGGGAGCCAGCCGCTGAGTTTTGTCCTGCCATCAGGTGTTTCTCATCCGCCCTAGAGCAGACAGCTCAATGTCATTTGGGTCAGTACAGCTGTCTATGCTCTGGGACATGTACTGTTTCCTTAGGGTTCAGCAGCTGCCCCTCCTTTCTTGGGCTATAGCCGGTGTATCTTCTGACATTTCTTCAAAGGCTCTTTTACCTATATGTAAAACTAACTCTCCTTCATATATTTTTTTTCTACTTGTCTACTCCTTTTTCCTTGGACAGTCAAGGCTGTATGCATACACTTTTCGTAAGGATATGTAGAAAAATAGAGGTTTTGACAGGTGGATGGCGAATAGTCTGTCCTAGGTCCCAGCCAATCATTAGCAGGGCTAGAAAGCCCATTCCCCCCTGTGTCCCAGCCCCACCGAGTTCCAGAAGGCCTAACTATGGCTCCTGCTGATTCCCTCTCTACCTCCCCATTGCCTTGTTCCTATTGATCATTACGCTTATCAAGCTTTTACTCAAAAGGAGGTAGACAGATGTTTGAGGCAGATGTCCCTGTCCTTGTATTGAGTGGAGAGTGTCCGTGTCACATGACCAAGTGTGCCTCTAGCCCTCTTTGTGCCACCATACTGAGATGCCCCATCCTCTTGCCTGGTGTCTGACCATTCCACTGACCCACTGTGGGGCCCTTCTCCAGCAGCCTCATTCTAACACCTCTCTCACCCCACCCCAAACCTTACTACAAGAGCTAATGAGCTCCAGCTGCCGAGCTGAGCCACTGGATGGTCACAGCAGTTTTCCTGCTGTTACCTCTTGGAGCTGCCCCTTTGAAAGATGTTCCCTATGGAGGCTTTTGCCCTCCCTGTTCTTGGAACAGATGTCCTGGCTATTTGGGCTGGAGCCAGCCTCTGTGGAAGCACCCTGAGGCAGGGCTCCTCTGTCTGTCTGAGGGTGGGTCAGCACACTGTGGCCAAGAGTCCTGATGTTCACCTGGATTCACCCTTCTCTACGGTGCTGCAGGTCTGAGGATCTGGAATACATTCATAACCAGCTAAGATCGGCACGGGTGAGGGCCATGGCAGGGCTCCTGGAGAAGCTTCACAGCAGCTACTTCCCAGCGTTCCAAGCCATGTGCAGGGATGTCCTAGCAGGTGAGGAACAGGATTTTCATAAATACATTTGACTTGAATTTTTTATTCAGTGTGGAATTATCGTCTCTCCCTGATTTTAGCAGCTTCAAGTTCTTAGGAATTTCAACCTGACACAATGTGGCATGGTGGCAAGAGTACCAAATCTAGAAGTAGGAGGGCAGCTCCCCTGTGCTCTGCTTGCATTTCCACCACTTTGTGACCCAGTGAAAGTCACCTAACCTTTCTGAGCTTTAGTGTGTACCATGAGTATAGTACATACACTTTCCGCCCACTTCCCCAGGCTGTTGTGATATAATGTAGGTGGGTGTATTTTACTGACTGTACCACACTGCACAAATGCATGTTGTTACCACTCACCTCTGCAATGCAGGTCCCTTTGCCCCCCCAGCTCCTTGAAACGTCTCTGTTCCATTTCTAGCCCCATTCTGTTTTTTCCATTCCTACTGTCAGATGGGACAGCAATTTCCTGGCCATCTGAGCAGCAGACAAAATTGGCCCTTGTCAAAATTGCAAAGCCAGCAAAATCTATAATTAGAAGTAGGTAAATTTTTTCAGGACTCCCTCTCCCCTCGCCAGTGCACTTTGCTTCTTTCCTTTCTCTTTCAGACTCCTCCTAGCTCTTCAGTATTGAAGGTCAAAATGTACTTTTAGTGTATTTGCAATTTCATGTGATTTATGCTCAATCTAGGCTGTGATTTTCAAACATTTTTTTCTCTATCAGAACTCGTTCTTTAAATACTATCTCCTGTATAAGTCCAAAATATAAATCTAATCAATGTATATTTGCTCTGTTAAAGTGGGAGCGTCCTGTGTCCATAGCTCCTTGGTTGATCCCTTGTCCCACCTTCTCCCGCTCACAGTATGGGGTTTGAAAACCACTCAGCTACAGGGATACAAGTTCAAGTGGCGAAGTTTCTGACATGTGCTGTATAACAGAGAAGAACTGGCAGAAGTAGCTAGTCTTTGGGGGTCTTTCTGGGCCCTAAAATCTCATCACAAAGTCTGCTGTGACAGCACATAGAGCTGGCTTGGAACAAAGTCCCTCTGGAGGTCACTGAGAGATTTTGTCCCAGAGGAATCAACTGTTGTTCCCAATTTATAGTTCAATAAAAATGGTGCAGGTGTCACAAAAAAGGGGTATGTGTATCACTATTGGTATGAGAGATGATTGTTGGAGATGTATAGATGGGTGTATTTAAAAATGTTAAAGTGTAACTGTTTTTGTCAAGTGATATCAGTTTTCCATTTATGTAGTGATTTGAAGTTTTCATTTTATGTGATTTTATTTAGGTTAAAATGGGAGTCACTTCAGAGAAAAGTATTAAGTAATATTACAGGTTGTATGCAGACATGACAAATATGATAAAAGAGGTATGCAAATAACTAATTTGGGGATCTAAAATAAAACAACATGTAGTAAAAGTATATTTATGAGTTGGTTATTCAGAGCCCCAAATGTATTTTTTCACATTAACACATTAATAGTCTATAATCATTCACATTGATTAGATTACTTGTTATAAAAGATTTGGTTCCCCACTCTGGTTTCGAAAAGCTCTTTACAGTATATGATGGCAATGAAAAGAAATTAGAAAAAACAATATAATTATAATAGCACCAAATAAACACTACTGTAAAAACAGAAATCCTTGAAATACATAACTCAATTCTGATGATGGAAGAAAAGAAATTTTGATTAGAGGAATTAGGTAGACACTTGTTTAGAAATTGTGATGGCATCTTTGAAGAATAAAAATATTTTAGAGGCTGGCAACTAATTTTCTCATTTCTCACTTAATTTCAGGGAACCTATATTTGTTTATCCTACATATATACACTATCTGCATTATTCTTATTAGTCAGGGCTCTTATATGATCAGGGTTTTTCATTGGCTCACTGATGGAATGAAGAGTGGGAGAGGAAAAGAAATATTCCTGAATTTCTGGGTGTGAAGTGGAAAAGTGTGAGAAATAAATAAGGAGGTTGAAAGAAGGTAGGATAATGTGTGGGAACAAGATCGGCTGAAGTGGAATTGATTGGGCAATGAGAACCTGGGAAAACAGGAAGCAGAAGTACTCTGCGGGGGTGGAGGTTTGAGGGTGGGGGGCAGAAACCAGGGCAATAAAGACTAATTAGGGAGTTCTCATCTCTGGCCATTAGGGGACAGGATTGGCATAGTACAGCCTGGTGGCCCCTCCAGGCTTTTTGTAGGTGTATATTTGTGGAAGAGAAAGAAGTCCAAGTCCAGTGGGGTCCTGGAGCTGACTTGGATTGGCTTGCAGTTTCTCTTGAGAGCCCACTGTATGCAAATATTTTCAAGTCCTCTTCCCCAGTACTCAGTGAAGTCCAGGTGGTAGCTTGAAATCAGGCACAGTGGGAATATTAGTAATATTTACACCACAGAAATTGGCAAATACTACAAATAAAGGCTTTTTCCCAGAAGAGCCTGTTGTTAAAGATTTATCAGCAAATCACTGGACATCATTGTGCAACTAGCCATTTATATTTGCAGGTGTAAGCCTAACTTTATTCATTTCTTTTCGTTTGCCTTGTGAGCCAAGGTGATTGCACCCTGAACTGGGTGATCCAACCCTCAAATAATTGTGTTTTTAAAATCAGTGGAGTGCCTATTTGTATGATTAAAGGAGGTTTTGTTTTTTAAAAAGCAGATACAAAGAGAAAGTTCCTCTGGCCTGATGGTCTCAGACTTTCTCACGGCCCTGTGAAAGCTAGAGCTTATGCTCATTAGAATGGCTGTTGAATTCTGATACCCTCCACCCCTACACAGCAGTGTGATACTTCCAGCTCCCGCATTTAAGAATCACTGCTGTAATCAATTTACCATGACATTTGACTTTCAAAAATTCAGTTCACACACTACTTCCCACAACTCCATTTGGGACATAAAGTACAAACATACACATCACAAACTCCTGTGTATTGAGCCTCACAACCATCAAGCCAGGGGTTCAACATGATAAACGTGGGGTAATCTTGCTTTTGCTCAGCGAGGCAGGGCAGGCCAATTCACAGGAAGATCCAGGGAAAGTTGCTTAGGTCTTAATTTTTTCACTAACAAAGTGGGAGTAATAGAAAACCTCAAAGTTTTGTGTGAGATGATATACTCGTAAGTCTAGTGAGTAGAACGATGCTTGGTATATTGCAGCTGTTTACTCAATAGTGTATATTCCGAGTGTCCTTTAGGATGAACGCAGAGCTGCATGCACATAACATAACTGAAGGCCGTCTGCTCTCATATGCTAGTGCCTGATGACCTGCCTGGGAAAGAACTGGCCTTGGTGAACACTCTCTTGCAGTGCAGTTTATTCAGTGGCTTTTACATTCCTTCTAGGTTGCAATGCAGAATGAGTACCCGGTGCTGCTGGTTTTTTCCTACTTTCCCCTCTCAGTCACCATAAGATGATTGGTGAAAGGCACCTCTCTTTCCTTGGCTGTGTTCAAAGGAGATGGTAGGCGATTTTCCTGGCTTCGAAAACTAGCAGTCTGTACTATTTTGCTGTTCTCTGTGACTTTTCCTCTGTAAAAGCTCAATGAGATTCTTCACTAGCAGCTATTTATCAGAGACATTACCATTATGAAATGCCTGCTTTGGTCCAACACTGTGCTAGCTGTGTATGAAGATTCTATTTGTGCTACCTTCAGACTTTCCAAGAACTTTTTAATAAAATTAGTTACTGGCCAGCTTATTTTTGAGTTCCAGAGAGGTTAAATGTGCCCAAGGTCATACAAGTGGTAAGTGTCTGGGTTGGCATTTGAAGACAGATCTTTCTGACTAAAATCTTCCCTCTGTCATCTACTTAATGTTGCCTCAGAGATATCGGCAGCAAAGGAATCAGCAAATAATTACTGAGTATCTTCCACACACACAGCACCAGACTGGGGCTGAGAGGGCCAGGACGAAGTCCAGGCACAGAGATGTTATAAGAGAGGCGCCTCAGACCATTACCCTAGCTGCCCAGGGCTCTCCAGAGTCCAGTATTTCCTCATAAGAGCTAGAAAGTTTATGGGGACCAGCCTTCTCTCTGCTCTCCAGTTTAGAAAGAAATGGCAGCCATCACTTTGCAGGCACCAGGGCTCCAACTCAGTGGGTATGAGCCCCAAGCAGGGAAGGGTGACTGTCTTCAATTTCTTCCAGCTCTGAGGGAGGCGCAGGATGTCCACATGCACCTGATGCCACTCTGCCGCCAGCTAGAAACCCTAGAGGGCCTGGAGTTTCCGGAGGTGAAGCCATGGCTGCGACCTCTGCTCCACGTGGTGTGTCTGATTTGGGCCACGTGCAAGTCCTACCGCTCCCCAGGGAGGCTCACTTTGCTGCTCCAGGAGATCTGCAACCTTCTCATCCAGCAGGTTGGCCACCCCAGGATCGCCAGTGACCTCCCCCTGGAAAGAGTACAATGTACATTTTTTTAGGGCAGGGAAATAATTATGGTCCAGAGGGTTCCCCAACTTGATTTATTTTAGTAACAAGGCAGTAGTGCTGGAATACACTGAAGGTCTTCCTTTCTTCTCTGCCCAAAACCCAGGGTCTGACGAAGAGTGGACATGGTGAATTTCACCCTCCTTAATGCCCACGGACTGGCATTCAGTCAGCCATGAAACCTAGCAGTTAAGAATGCTGCCTCTGGAGTCAGACACCCTTGTGCCAAATCCTGCATCCCCTCTTGTTAGCTGTGTCTACCTGGACAAGTCACTTATCTGCTCTGTATCTCACTTTCCCCCTTTGTGCAATGGTGAAAAGAAGAGGAACAACTCCAAGGGTAGCGGGGTGATTGTGAGGCTCTGATGCCATCATGGTGGCAAGGCTTACAGTGTGCCCTGCTCTGCTAAGAACTCGCTGCCTGTGAGCTACAGAAAGGCAGCTTCTTGAATCACACACTTTATGCTCCTTCTTCTTAGGGACTCTTGTGGCATCAACCAGGGCAGCATAAACCTCGAGGAGTGTGTCTGTGAACAGAACTGGAGGCCTTAAGGATGTTTGGGTGATCTTCCCCCCAAATTGGCTTCTTTTCCCTCTGAGGAGCTGTGACCCTGAGAAAACAATGAACATGTTTAAAGAGGAACTGATAACAACTAACATCTATGGAGCACATTGCAGGCTCCAAATTGCTGTGATGTGCATGACCATGGCCATGTTTAGTTGAACCCTGTAGGTGGGCAGAGACAGCCTTACTTAGTTATTATTATTTGAAAATGTGGACTAAGGCTTGGGGAGGTTAACTAAGTCGTCCAAGGTCACCCAACCCAGGATCAGAAGCCAGGGATTTGTCGCCTAGACCTGTGCTCTTCCATCACTCCATGTTTGTCCGCCAGGACTCTTGGTTGAAAGTGTAAGAAAACCCAACCCAAACTAGCATCGACAGAAAGATAATTTATTGGCTTATGTACCTCAAATATCCAAGGAAAGGCTGGCTTCAACCCTAGCTTACCATAAAGCCTTAGATATGTCATCAGGACCCAGTTATTTCTGGCCCTCCCTGTGGTGGTAAAGATGGCTTCAGCTTCACAGCTTTCCAGGTTCAAGTCTCTTGGAGACAGGGAAATAATTGTGGTTCAAATGATTTTTAAACTCAAATTATTTTACCATAGAATGTCAGTAAGTCCCAAAAGAACACCTGGGAAAGAACAGTTGCCCCTTCCCCAGCTGGCCCCACAAAAGACTTGTGGTGTTTGCTTGTCTCTGATTGGTCGCTTGCCCACCCCTGAGCCAAACACTGACTATTTGGCTTGGCCCCAAGTCCTAGTTCACCTGTGGAGCTGGGGAGAGAGTCAGATGTTTTCTATATTATGCTTCTGAAAAATATCACTTGGCAATTATGCAGTTTAGAGTTGGTTTTGATTAAGTTGTGGGATGTCCTGTACTTTCCACGAGGCTTAGTGACACTAATGTCTTTGCATTCCAGGCCTCTGATTATCTCAGCCCAGAAGACCTCCTGAGAAGTGAGATAGAAGAAAGTCGGACAAAACTGCAAGTGGTCGTGGACACCTTGAACTTCTTTAAGCAGGTGTTTCAGGACAGAAGGGAGAATCTCCACACTTACTTCAAAGAGAACCAGGAAGTCAGGGAGTGGGATTTCCAGACTTCTTTGGTCTTTGTGCGATTGGATGGCTTCCTGGGACGACTGCACATGGTGGAGGTGAGTGTGCTCGTTCACCTCAGGCTCCCAGCTCCCGAAGGGAGTAAGCAATCCAAGGATCCAAAAGCGAAATAGGAAAATGACCACTGCAACATGGTGGCCAACTCTCCTTTGGTTGGAAGAACACATAATAAGATTCAATAAGTATTTGTATTGGTCATATAAATTGATCATCACCCAATGGAGGACCTATTAGAAGTTTAGGAAATTGTGATCATAGAAAAATTTAGGAAGAAAGCCCGAGGAATCAGTCAACTAATTCAAACTAATTGGTTTTTAAATTGCCCATAATCTTCAAACTTTGTTTCAAATAAACTCTTGGCTAGAAAGTCCGATGTGCAAAGTGCAAGCGAGCTGGCCTGAACGCAGCGGGCCATTCCCATGAAGCCACTGCTTTGAACTTGTGCTTCTCCACTCTCTCACACTAAAGGTGGCTCCGAAAACTATAAGACTAGCTGAATCCCCATGCAAAAGAAATGTGACTTTTGCTCAGAATTGTATCTTTTCCCCAGTTATTTAAGACTTAATGTAAACATTAGTTTAGGGACCAGGGTGAGAAGACATGAAGGCTTTTCTTTTGGTTCTTTTTATCCTCAGAATTTAATATGGTTAACAGGTCTTTTAACACTTTTCAGCTCTATATTTGCAGATTGAACTTTGGTTGCAGGCAGTGGGCACAGTAAAATCAAATATATACTTATTCTAAAACTTATTTAAGAAATTCAGGGTCAGATTCAAGATTAGGACAATAGCCAAGGAGACCGAGAAGGAATTAAAATGATCAGCAGAGATTAGCTATGATCAGAGATTTGGGATGACGAGAGGGTTGTGGTGGGAAGAGGCTGTAATGAATGACGCAAACAGTGGGATTATGAAGATACAAGTATGAGATTGAATCTGTTCATTTCAGTTCAAAAGCTTTGATCCAGCACCACCATTCACCAGTCCCTGAGCTAGGCGTAATGATGACTGAAATGTGCTTTTACCTGTAAGAAGCCCGTGGACCAGTAGCCACAGTGCAGGAGAAGGTAGACATGAGTGGAGGAGACCCAGGGATGGAAAGGCAGAATCAGGACACACCAGTGAGGTGTATTAAATGCCATAATACAAGCAAAACTGGTGTGTTATTGGGAGCAAGAAAGAGGGATTCCCTAACCCAGTGGAGCTCTGAGAAAGTGGGAAGCACAAGAGGAAATACATCTCTAAAATGGACTAGAAATTCACCAGGGAGAGAAGATGAGGAAGGGCACAGAGACAGAAAATGTGTACGCAAGAAAGCCAGAAGCTAGATCTTAGAAAAGGCGCACCTTAAATCCTTCATCGGGATCATGGAGAGTATAAATAATTGATATCCGGCCTTATTCTAAATGCCTCCTTTTTCTGCAGCTGTTTCCATCACAGCTCTTGATGCTCAGCCTCATCTCCCCTTCTCCTCCACTCTATTTCTCTCATCTCCCTCAACGACCCCTCCACTTTTGTTAGCTGAGGTGACAGACCTCCAGCTCCAACTGCCCTGGCCTGGCTCACCAGGGTGGAATCACCGGCATCACCGCCTTGCAGGCTCTCCAGCCCTGTAGAGCACAGCTCAGAAATGACTGGGGCTGGGGCCTCAGGCCTTATGCATGCATGCTAATGATGTGACTTTGCATATAGACAGCTATTCTAACATTAGGGCACCTAATCTGCGGGGTACATTCAGTAAATATACACACCCCTGGCCACTGGTCTCCCCAGAGTCATTACCCTCACAATAGTCAGCTCTCAGGCTGCTTTTCCTTTCTGAATCAAGGGCACAGATGCATGAAAAACAGTTGCTCCAGTTTAATTAGAGGGTGACTTGAATGTCACTATGCTCTCCATCTTCCTGCTACTTCCAGTGTTAAGTTTTCCATCCTTTGCTCTGGCTTACTTCCTAGCTCCCAGGCCAAACACCACCGTTTCTTTTCTCTCCTGCTTTCCCTTTTCCCTCTTCCTCTCCTTTCTACTTGTCTCCCTTCCCCTTTTCTGTTTTCCAAGCTTCTTTTTAATTTCCCTTGGCTCTTTGTTCACCCTGAATTTCCATGATTTTCCTTTTTCCCATGGCTGCTCCTCACCCCTGTCCTATTATTTCCTCCCCTTTTTCATTTTTCATCTCCCAGTCGTTTGCTCAGCCTCACGCCCTTGGCCTCTGGCTCCCCCACCTCTTCCTAGCCAGCTCAGTGCAGCGGGACATGGGCCTATCGATCTTCTCCAAGCAGATTTCATGTAGCCCTTTAGTTAACATTCTGTGTATCTCTGTGATCGATGCCTTTTTGAAATGGGATTAATCTGCTTCTCTCCAGCAAGAATTAGCATGAACCTAGCCTTATTCATCTTGCCGTTCTAATACAGTGTGTGGCCGCCGAGATGTGTGCAGCTGCAATTAATAGATACACAAAGCCAAGTTAATAAAATGACATCAGTGCTTTTACCCTCTACATGCTCATGTCCAGGGTTATGCTGTGAAGGGCTGTTTTTTAATCGCCATAGTTCTTTCAAATCCCCCCCCCCCCCCCCCCCCCCGCCTGGCCCTTTTTTGTGTTGCTTTTTTCTTTTCTTTTTTTGCACAAGAAAGTTTTATTGTGCAGATCGACTCTTCCCCTCTGGGTGCCTATTGAGGAGCAGGGCTGCAGCATATTGCTGAGCAGTTTTCAGCACGTCTGCAGCATGTGGCGTTATTGCATTCACAGGATACCACCACCCGCCACCTCCTCAGAACCGCGATACAGCTAATGTCTCAGAGAGCTTGAGCAGGGAAAGGAAGAAGGGTAGAAAAGTAAGGAACTAACATGTTTCAAGAGCCCATCTCATGCCAGGCCTTAAAACCGTAAGAGCTAGGTGTCAGCTCCCTTACAGTGACAAATGGGCACAGTTAAGCATGGCACATCATACACATGCCCACTGTCACACGGCTCAAGGAGGTTTAGCTGGGATTTGTACCCAGGAGCCTATTGTTCCAAGTATCATTTTTCCAGCAAACTTGGCTCTCTCCTGGGGGTTCTGCAGGCCTGCTTCCTTCCCTGCCACCAGCTTGGAGGTCCCGAACCGGTTCTGTGGTTTTATTATGCCCTTACACACTCTCTTCTGTCTTTGCACATTGTTTTTACCGCATGATTTCTATGTCTTTTTTTCTAAATAAGTCATTTGGGTAAAACTGTAATTCACATTCTATGAAAGGGGCACATTTGACTTTACAACTTATAAGGAAATCGCAAAAGTATATAAAATCTTTGCAATTTGAATGAACAGTCAAAAACCAGAGGGGAAAGGAGTCTTTGAGCTGCGTCTCGATTCCTTCCCTCACCCTGTCTTCCTGCTGGATGCTCCAGCTCATACACCACCCCCGCCCCCACACACCGTACACACACACTGCACACCACACATGCATACTCTGCACATACACACTACACAACACATATACACACATGCACACACACACACACCACACAAACATGCAACACACACATTATACAGATCACACACTTACATACACATACATCACACACATGTACACACACCCCACACATACTGTACACACTCCCCCTCCCACGTCTCCATATCTCACACACACACACACGTATACCCATCACCTTGCACACACACACACACTCCACACACAGTTCATGTTTGTGCCGTAACTTTGTGGATGCTGCAGATCCCTGTTTGTGTTTCTGCCTGCAGCCTCTTCCCTCCAAACAATGCAGTATGTAAGCAGCTTGGAGAGAGCCCTCGTTTCTTTCATTATAAAATTTCTGTAAAGCTGTGATTCACTTGGAGGCAAAATGATTTCCTGCTGAGACTTTATGCGAGGTGATTAGCAGGGAGATAGGTAATAAGCTGACCTAATATGCACCGCGTTTTCCTGCTCTTTCTGCCACCTCCAGTCACTCTGCCGCCTCTTTTCATTCGGGCCTAATTGGGCAGCCTTCCCTTTCAGCCCTGCCTGAGCATGCGGTCACACAGGAGACCATTAGCCACATAAGGTCAGTTGCTGTCGTAAGGTAAAGAAAACAGTCTTTTTCCCAGTGACCTTTTGAGATTTTCATCTGTGAATGTCTGCTTTGTGCTCTCCCTTAATGAATTCTGAAGACGTTTCTTTTAAGATGGGCTGTGTGACCTCTCCTTGGAGAACGGGCTTGTGTTTGTGGGGCTTGCTATTATCCCCAAGTTTGATTCTCCACCTCAGGGGCCATAGCACCAGTGGAAGCGTCTCTCACCACTCCATGAAAAGTTGCACAGATTTTTCACAGGAATAGGACCTAATCAGCCCAGTCAGCTGCCTGGAACCCCATGCTCTTAATGGTATCTGGAAAGGAGCACCTGTATATTAGCCATTACACATCCCTCACCCACCAACCTGATCTAATGACATCAGAGTGATCATAATTAATTACAATGCCTACTGAGTATTCAAGTCCTTCCAAGGCACGTTCCATGTACCTCAGTAACTCCATGGCCAGTCAGGTGTTGGTGAAGCAAGGTTAGGGAAGTAAGACTTAGAAAAGTTAAGTGTCTTGCCTTAAGCCACATAGCGAGTAAATGACAGGCCAGTGTTGTGTGAGCCAGGGTTTTTGGCCTTATGCTGGGCTGTCTCCATGGTGCTGTGTATCCTCCCCCTGAAGTTGACATTTTCAGCCTGTGTGTGGCATAATGAATTTCACATGGTTACTACTGTGATAAATAAAAATGGATATGTAAAAAATATCACTTAAACCTCTTATTGGTTTAAATCGCCTTTTATCAGCTTTGTGGGACTTCTAAATAAACAATGAAAAGTGGTACTTTTAAGTAGTTTAAGAATCAAGAATACTGTCATGGTCATTATGGTAAATCTGTTTCTACAGTTGCAAAACAATTTCCCACCAGTTTCTGGAACCTTCTCTACAGTACCGCTGATGTCAGACTTCTACAAAAATTCATCCAGAGATGGAAAGCTCATTACCTCTCTTAGCAGCCCATTCTATAGTTGGACATTTCTAGGCACTAGATGATTTGTTAATTAAGTGGAGCCATGTGAAATTGTCATCTTTTTGTAGGCCAGATGGTCAAATATAAGACATTTTATAAGTTCAACCTACAAGCTGAGGCCAAATCTGCTTCTTTGTCCTATTTGCTCATTTGCCTTAGTTCTGCCCTCAAAGTAGGACCAAGTGTAAGGTCCTGCCTTGCACATAACCAAGGCCCTTCAAACATTTAAAGGCACAGTTTGGCCTTACTTTGTAATTCTCTTCTCTTGTCTAATTTTCCTTAGTTTTTCAGTTGCTCATGAGTCCGTGATTCCTATATTCTCTACCACCCTGTCACCTTCTCCTGGAGGTGCTGTAGCTAAGTCAAAGGTCAAAGATCATACATTCACTCATTAAACAAATATTTCTCAGCAACAGGGACTCTTCCAGGGACTGAAGATACAGTGGTACCTCTGGGGCATTTACAACCTACTAAGAAAGGTGGACAGCAAATAAACAAATAACATAATGCCAAATAGTATATTATAATTCCAGAGCATGATAAGAGCGCTGAAGAAAGCTTAAGCAGAGTAAGGGGAAAGAGAGTGCAGGGAATGGTAGAGTGGAGGTTGGGGCACTTTTAATAGTGAAATAAGAAAAGGTCTAAGACCTTGAGTTGAACCCCAAATAAATGTGTTGCCCATCACGTGTCTATTATATAAAGCAATGAAAATATCCATTGTTTTCAGTGACCAGAGTTTCTCCAAATATAGAATGATTAAATACTTAATACCTATGATTTACCTGTTAGATTGGAGATGAAACACCTGCCAGCGACACCCCCCCAAGACCATGCTTAAAGTATTCTTGAGAAATACAATAGTGTAACAAAATTATCTAGTTTTCTGTTGTAATCAAACATATCAAGATGCATCTGTCTTTTAAAATGGTTTGAGAGTATTTCCTAAATATTGAAATTGACTTCCACAGAATTATGAAAAAGGGGTACCCAGGTGACATTCCACAGCACAAATACATTTCTCCAATTACACTGATTACACCTAAGCACTTGTTGAATGATTTGAATTACTATTTAAGTCAATTTCGTTTAAGTCTAATTCATTTCTGTTTTCTTCCCAGTGTATAAAGTTGAATGTGTTTTAACATAGACTATCCCATTTCCCACCATTGGTGGCAAGACCCCCTGCTTCAGGTTCTGTCTGTCTGTCTTACTTTGGTGGGTTCTTCCCACTTCTCTCCTCTCCTACTTCAGCTGCTTGCTGACAGCCATGCCCGAACATAGCTGAGCAAAAAGGGGTTGTTAGATGGCTGCCCGAGGCTGTGTGGGAGCCCTCCCACAACGTGGGGAAAGTCAGCCACTTCTCACCACTTCTCAGTGCCTCTGTCATTGCTGCTGGACCTGGTGTCCCAGCAAGAGAAAGGAGTCGGGCAGCCTTCTGCTAGCCTGATGGGTCAACCATAGCAGGGGCCACTGGCAGTGGGAATTTCCTGGAATGGAACCAGGACCGTTTTCAACATTGGGACTTAGTGTTCCCTCTTCATGCCCTTTGAACTTTCTCAGAGTAGAAGACCCCCTCCCAGGGATCTACACCCAAAGTTTGCCAAAACCACAGAAAGGTAACTAACTTATCTCCCTCACTGAAGAGATGTGTACACAGATTGGAAGTTGTAACGGGAAGAACTTCTAGGTTTGGAGATGTGGTGATTTCAGACCAGTATTCATGAGAGATGAATACTACCATCTGTCATGGTAGGTGGGTTCTAGGCTTCCGTCCTATAGGAGATGAAGCGGCTTCCATGGACACAGGAGGGGCTCCTCGCCAAGGCTCTGGGTTGTGTTGTCTGTCACTTCTAAGCACAGCTGGGACACTCCATATCAACAACAGCAACAGTAGTACCCACTTACTCTGTATTTACTGTGTGCGGGGCACTGGTCTAAATCCTAAGCTTGCATCAACGTATTTATCTCATTACTATTATTCGTCTACAATGAAGGAACTCAACACAGAGATGTCAAGTAATTCCCCACTGTCACCCAGCTGGTCACATGCTATAACATATCACACATGTCTGGAAGGAGCACCCAACAGATTTATTTTCTTGGTAGTAGTTGCTCAGAATGTTGGTGTCATCCTCTGGACTTGTCCTCAGCACTATTTAGAGGACCTGCTTTCCTGTCAATATCCCCGAAGATAGCTGTCATTCTAGAACCAGATAACATGGTCCATTTGAAATTGATTTTTTTAAAAATTAGTAGTAAAGCCAACAATCAAGTAAACAATATTGTTATTATTATTATTTATTATTTAGTAAAGAACACAAAGAAGCTGAAGTACAAATTTGATCTTTTTTTGTCTGTGTGAATTTTATTTATCTGTACTTTGCTTCATGATCGAGTTTAACCAAGATTTATTTATACCAACCCTATCTAATAATAAGGTTACATCACAAACCGAGCTTCACATTTTCCTAAGCAACCACCACCCCATATGATTTCCAGCTTTCCCCATACTAATTTGAGTGTTCTCTGCTGTTGTTATCATCATAATCATTATTTTACTTTTTTGTGAATTGTCCCTATAGGATCTTCTGAAGACAGCCTTGGATTTCCACAAACTGGAAAAGCTTGAGTTTAGTGGCATCAGAGGGAATTCCCTGAGTCAGCAGGTCCAGCAAATGTATGATGAATTTCAAGAGATGTACAAGGTCTTTTCAGAGTCCTCCTATGACTGCCTGGACCTCGAAAGCACGGTAGGGCTCAGGAGGGCTAACTTGCAAGTTTTGTCTCTCTCAGATGCCTCTCGCCCGTAGGGTCTGGGTATTTACTTGCACATTCCCTGTATGTTTCCTTTGGCTCTATGATCCCAGTGGTTTTATGAAGGGAGACTCACTCCTAATTATTCTCTGTGTCAGGAGGAAGATCAGGGCGGTTCCTTTCCAACTGCTAACTGCCCAAGACTGATGATACCCAGGATTTCACAGATGCTGAGATGGATATGGGGTGATGGTGGAGGCTATGACCACTGTGTGTCTTCCAAAGCTTTAAGCTTCTAGCAGAGACTGCTATGTGAAGCCCAGGTGCACCTGGGCAGAGTTTTATTAGTGGCTTGGGGGTAGGGTGGATGAGTGAAGCAGTAGCCTAGTGTTTCTGATCTGATTCTGGTTTCCAAGAGAGTACTCAGGATGAGGAAAAAATTAAAGATGCATTTTTCATGATTGGGACACAAGAGCCGACATCTTTTTTTTTTTTTTTAAGTCTTTATAAAATTTATTGGGGTTACATTGGTTAGTAAAATTATATAGGTTTCAAGTGTACATTTCTATAATACATCATCTATATATTGCATTGTGTGTTCACCACCCAGAATCAGTTTTCCTTCTATCACCATATATTTGACCCCTTTTCACCTCTTTTACCACCCCCTTCCCTCTTACCTGGTGACCACTAAACTGTTGTCTGTGTCTATGAGTTTTTGTTTGTCTTGTTTGTTTGTTGCTTTCAGTTTTATATCCCACATATGAATGAAATATAGTTCTTGACTTTTTCTGACTTATTTTGTTCAGCATGAAAATCTCAAGATCCATCTATGTTGTTGCAAATGGCAGTATTTCATCTTTTCTTATCGCCAAGTAATATTCTATTGTGTATATGTACCACATCTTCTTTATTCAGTCATCTACCGAAGGACAGTTTGGTTATTTCCATGTCTTGGCCACTGTGAATAATGCTATAGTGAACGTAGGGGTACATATATCTTTATGGATAAATGTTTTCAGATTTTTGGGGTAGATATCCAGAAGAGGGATTGCTAGGTCATATAGTAATTCTATTCTTAATATTTTGAGAAACCTTCATACTGTTTTCCATAGTGGCTGTACCAATTTACATTCCCACCTACAGTGTGGAAATTTACATTTCCACAACCTCTCCAACACTTGTTATTACTTATCTTGTTGGTGATAGACATTCTAACAGGTGCAAGGTATCTCATTGTGGTTTTGATTTGCATTTCCCTAATAGCTAGTGAAGTTGTACTCATAGCCCAGGAAAGCTGATACCTGTTGAGTGCAAGTCCACAGGAGACAAAAAGAAGAAAAAGGGCCAGACAAATGGGGAATGGAGTTTCCTGCACAGGGAATGGCTAATTACTAGCGGAGGAATTTTAAGAGTATATGAGGGGAAAGGAGAAATAAATTAGAGCAGAAATCTGCTCTTTGCACCTTCAGATGGCTAGAAAAATCTTAGCAGATCCGGGGAGACACCACTTTCTAAAAATTCCATTTGTCAAAAGTAGGACAAAAAGTGGACTATAAAGCAGGATATAGTCCATGTATTTGCTACTGTATGATAAAACAAAACCCTATGTAAAGGGCAACATACTGCAGTGTTAATGTGGTTGGGTTTGGGAAGAAGAACTACGCTATGGTTTTCTACTTTTCTTTGTCTTTTTATAAGAATACGTATTACTATTGTAAAGCAATAATGACAAATAACAATTCCACAAATTAGAGATTTGAGTTAAAGTTTCTCTGAAAATTGACACATTCTAAGGAGAACACACTTCTGATTTCCAGATAAAATGTAATCACTGGGACATATACTAAAAAAAAAAAAGCTCATTGTTTGAAGTTTAAATTTAAATGCGTGTCCTGTATTTTTATTTGCTAAATTTGGCAGCCTCAGGAACAATGGCTAGCTGTTGTCTTAACCAATTAAGGTGCACTTATAAGAAATAGTGAGCATTAGTTTAATTAGCTTACTTTCCTCCTAATGGTTAGATTTATTTGGTTGCACTGAAAAAAGAGGATTTTGGGGCCGGCCGAGTGGCGCGATGGTTAAGAACTCACTTGGGATGCCAGAGGGCCCCGGTTCGGATCCCACATATGAGGGCCAGTGACACTGCCCTCCACAGCTAAGATGCTGAACAACAGCTCAACCTGGAGCTGGGCTTCCGTGAGTCGCTGGCGATGGCGTAGGCTGCAGTCCCTGTGGCAGTGGGTTGCCATGGGCTACTGTATGTAGCCAGCAGCCAGCAGCCAGCGTGAGCGGCCAGCAGCCGCAGTGAGCGGCCGTCCAGAAACCGGCGACTGATCTGCCTCGCCCGGGAAGAGCGCAATGATGGTGCCAACTTGGGCCAGTGAAGCAGCGTCCTCCACAACTAGAATTGAAGAACAAAACGACAGCAACTTGTCTGTTCCCCTTCCCCCAATTCCCCATCACTGTTCCCATCCCCCCAATTACCCAATAAAAAAAAAAATTATTAAAAAAAAAAAAAAGAGGATTTTGACTTGGAGGAGGAAGAAAAGTAGATGGTAATGATGCAGTAGCCCCCTTATTGGGGCTGTTGCTGTTGAGGTGTTTTTCGGAGTGGCATGAGTGGCACTGTGGATGATAGAGAAGGGGCTTCAGAGGGCAGCAGAGCGGGCACAGAGAGGGAAGTAAAAGGGTGCCAACTTCACAATCTGACTCACTCTACCATTTTGCCTAGAGTGTCTAGGAAAAAAATGCTGGCAATAATAGGGTAACTGTCTACATGGATAAAAACTAAGTCATGCCAAGGTGAATTCTGGAAAATGAAAACAAATCTTTGGTGTAACAGATTCAAGTACAAAGGTTAGTGGTAAAGAGCAGAGTGGGACTGGCTGTCAGAAAAATCACCTTTTTCTATGTCTTTGTGTTGTCTCTTCAGGAATTTGAAAATGACATCTCTGAATTTAACCAGAGAGTAGAAGACCTTGACCGCAGACTGGGGACTGTCTTTATTCAAGCCTTTGATGATGCCCCTGATTTGGAGCACGCCTTTAAGGTTTGTGCAAGTAGAGCGGGGACCGTGCTTGCTTCTCCTGCCACCCTCATCAGAGGAGGGCAGGGATACTCTTGCAACTGTTTTGTTCATGCAGATATTAAGTGTTCGTATTAGTCCAGTAGAGAAGTATTGTGAGTGTCTTAGTGCAAAGGAGTGTGTAGAATTGGGCTTCTCACGTTGGTTCCTAATGCTTTTCTGAAAATGTGATGACCTAAAAATGCTTTTCAAAAGAGTTTGTTCTGGAATGCATTCTTTGAGCCTTATCAGTAGGGTAACCATTAAAAGTGAAGAAATCTACTGTGGTCACCATCCTGAAGCCATGGTTCTGTCATACCATGGCTGTTTCACCACTACTTTCAGGTTGGTTCAAGTGGAAGGAAACCATCTACTAGGTAACTGGTTATAGGGTTCAAGTACAAGTAACTAGAATAAGATGTGTGCCCTTGACTTGTATTGCCCAGATTAGATGGTATAATGATATGGAGATGTTTAGCATGAGGAGTAGATAAATGGCTGCATAACTGAGAATTCTGAGTCGTGAGGCATGAAGAGTTAGTAGAGTATGATAGATCTTGTATAAACTATGAAGAATCTTAATCTGCAAAGCCTTAAGGATTAGAACTAGAACTAATCAGTGGAAATTGCAAGGAGGCAGATTTGGGCTCAGTAGAGGAATGAGATTTCTGTCAAGGCTATTTAAAGATGGAATGGACTTCTTTGAGATGTAGTTAAGTTTCCAGTCAGTGAAAATGTCCAAACGTAGATTGGAATCCCTGCTATTCTAGAATATTGGGTCACCCAAATTGCCATGCTTCATTAGACATTGAACATATATATATATATAAATATATATATACCTGCCATTCCATAACTCACGTAGGAAGACTATTAGGATTTCTCTCTCCAAGCATTTGAACTGATGCCAGAAATTACTTCAAGAATTCGTTCTCTCTGAAACTTTTTTTCTTGATCCCACTCTCAAATTTTAGCCTTCCAAATTCTGGCTAACACCTAGCCCACTTAGCTTCCTTTTTTCTTCTCTATCTTCACCTTCCTTCTCTTTAGATCTTTTTTATGGTCTTTTTAAATGCAGATCAGCTTAAGCTTTCTGGCATCTTAAAGTTTTCTCTTTGTTTTACCCTTTATCCAGATTCTGCGTCCCATGAGGGCCTGATAGGTAATTCAGCAGATGGGAATCCTTCTTTAGAAGCAAACGAGAGAGGGACAGACTATGAATATCTACCTGTTAATAATTAGTGATCCAGTTGCACACCAGCACTTTTTTGACCTTCTGACATTGGTGGACATATGGGAAAAAACCCAAGAAATAAGATTTATGTCACCTTAGAAATGTTGAACTGTTCCTCTTCTTGCTCCACCTCTTCTGCAGCTGCTGGACATAGCAGGAAGCCTCCTGGAAAGACCACTGGTAGCACGGGATACATCTGCCAAGTACCTGGTGCTCATCCAAATGTTCACCACAGACCTGGATGCAGTGAGGATAATCTATCGTCAGCATGAACAGGAGGAGGCCGAACTCGGTAGGCTGGCTGCCAGGGGATTTTGATGGGGGAGTTCTACTACTGGGAAGGGGGAACTCACTCTTTAAATCTCCACTATGGATCTATGGCATTCTCCAAGAAAAGCAAGAACAATCTTCTTGCTTGATATTCCAGACCATCTTGGCTGATTGTAGAGTTCCCTGAACTGTGCATTTCTCTGTATCTGGGGCTGAGATGGGCAAGACGACTCAGAGCAGTGAGGTCTTGACTGCCTCTGGTCAATGGAGATGTTAGCATAATGTGTGAGTTGATTCTCGATCAGTACTGCCACACTGATTAATCTTCACCATACTTAAATTTCACAGTGGATTTTTACATGCCCGAGAAAAGTTTCTGACCCCTTCCAATGCCATAGCAACCACAGCAGGAGTCTGACAAAGGTCGGTGCCACGCCACAATGTAATGTCTCCATTTTGTATTGCAATTCTTAGATGCCCTGTCTTACCTGTTTGAAAGTCAAACACAAGTTCAATTCAGCTTTACAGATATTTCTTGAGTCTTTTCTATATGCAGGACACATCCGTGGGCATGATATGCCCAGACAGGCCAGGGTATGGGATGAACTAAATAATTTTAAAAGGTGGTTTTTCAAGGAACACACCAGGTAGGAATAGTTACATAGCAGAATGTAAGCAGTCCCCGGCTTGAGTTATAAAGAACTGTAACAAAATAAGATGAACTGTGACTGGGGTTTTCCAGGGGGAGTTTGTAGAGAAGGTGGCCTTGAGTCAAGCCCTTAAAGTGGGGAGATTGACAGCCAGGGAGAAGAGGCAAAGACCTCTGAAGAAGCAAAGACAGTTGAGTATGTAGGTACCAGTTGGTTCTGCCTGTAGCCGAGCAAGGTGTACATAGAGAGAGATTAGTCAGCAATGGGGCCAGATTGTGAAGTGCTCTGTGTGCCACATTAAGGAACCCAGAATTCATTATTCAGGTGATAGGAAAATTTCCAAGGTTTTTAAGTAGTGCAGTAGCAGTACCACTATGTCTGTAAACAGGTTTCATACTGAGATTATTAAGAATTGCTTCCACTTAGGAAGTCATTTCCAGAAAATCTGTTGGCCTCAGCTTTATGTGGGACCACCCTCATGACATCTTCCAGTCAGATACAGAATTTGGAAACTCAGATCCTTCAGAGGGCATATTAGTTTTCTATTGCCGTATAACAAATTATCGCAGCCTTACATGGCTTACGTAACACTTATCCTTTAGCTCAGAGTTTGTAGGTCAGCAGCCCCGAGTGTGCCTCGGTTCTCCACTTACAGTATCACAAGGCTGAAATCGAGGGTTGGCTGGGCTGACTTCTCATCTGGAGGCTCTGGGAGAAAAAAATCCATGTCTGAGCTCATTTTTGTTGGTAGAATCCTGTTCCTTATGACTGTAGGACTGAGGTTTTCATTTCCTTGTTGGCTGTCAGTTGGGGGCCACTCTGACTGGAAGCCACTCCCATTCCTTGCCATGTGGGAAGGCCCTGTAGCTGCCTCCATTGTCAAGCCAATCATGGCACATTGAGCTCTTCTCATGCTTCAAATCCCCTACTTTTCCTTCTGCCACCAACCAGAGAAAATTCTCTACTTCAAAAGGGCTCAGGTGAATAAGTCAGACCCACCCAGGATCATCACCCTTTTGCCATGTAATGTAACATTATCACAAGAGTGATATTTCATCATAGTCACAGTTTCTACCCACACTTAAAGAGGAGAAGATTATGCAAGAAGATTATGGTGTTATCTTAGAATTTTGTCTCCTGTAGATCTGGGCTGAGTGTAAGACATCAGGAAGTAGTAGAGTCCATAGCAAATTAAAGGAAGCGTGACCACTACTTGACTCCAGTTGCTGGTTACAAGTGGTGGCTGATTTTTGCCATTTTACCAAGGAAGCTGGAAACTGATTTTTTTAAAGTGGAATCTCCTAATTTTTAAATCTTGACAGCTAATTATAAGCAAACTATGTGGAGTAAAGTAAGTAATCCAGGCTGTGCTAACTTGGTAACATGCTTCGTAATCCATGTGGCCTGTCTCATTCATAATCGAATTGAATTCTCAAAGAAACCTTGGAAGTTAAGCAGGGAAGATATTATTCCCATTTTATAGCTGAAGAAATGAGGCCCAGAGTGGTTGAGTTCTCTATTTAAGGCAGTGTTTCTCAACCCTGGCTGTATAATTAGGATCGCCTTGAGAGCTCTTAAAAAATACAGATGACTGAGCCCCACCCAGCCCCATTAAGTCAGGATGGGGAGGGCAGGATCCAGGCATCAGTATTTTTTAAAGAGCCCCCCAGGTAATGCTGATGTGTAGCCTGGTTGACAGTCACTGGTGTGAAGTCAGAAAGCCAGTGAGTGGCAGAGCTGGGCTGGGACCCCTGTCCTCTGATGCTGTTTGATGTTCTCCCCAAGGTCACTGTTACTCCTTATCAGAACACGGTGGTCTCCCAGGAACTCCCCATCTCAGTGTGAGCACAGGGCAACTTGAGCAGGTGGAGGTAGATGAGGCCAAAAGCGGAGTAGCTGGCAGGAGGGGTTCTTGGGGCAGAGCAGACTGAGAGGCTAGAGCCTCACCTTGTTCTGGTGGTGCTGTGTCCCCAGGGTTCTCCTTGGTGCATAAGAACATGCCCTGTGTGGCTGGGGGTCTCCGCTGGGCACAGGACCTGAGGCATCGCATCCAGGGTCCCTTCGCTGACTTCAGACGCGTTGTACATCCGTGAGTATCTCACTCCTGAAAGTCAGGTTTGGTTTAGGCTTCTACTCCTGCTCTGTTGTAGAAATGCAACTCACTTACCAAAAACATCCTTATTTCTTTCCATGTCCGGCAATCACCCAGTGTCTTAGTCCGTCTGGGCTCCTATAACAGAATACCATAGAGTGAGTGGCTTATAAACATTAGAAATTTATATCTCACAGTTTTGGAGACTGGGAACAAGGTGAAGGTGCTGGCAGATTCAGTGTCTGGTGAGAGCCACTTTCTGCCTCAGACAGCCGTCTTCTTGCTGTGTCCTCACATGGCAGAAAGAGCAGGGGAGCTTTGCGAAGTCTCTTCCTGTGAGGGCACCAATCCCACTCATGAGGGCTGTACCCTCATGACCTAATCACCTCCCAGAGGCCCCACCTTCTAATACCATCACACTGGAGATTAGGCTTCAACATACAAATTTGTGGGAGGGAATACAAACATTCAGTCCACAGCAACCAGATACCTATTGGCCAAACAGTAAGGAGATGGATACATTTGGGCTGACTAGTGGGCCCCTTGGTGTTAAATGAGGCTTGATGGACAACAGGCTGACTCCTTCTGCTCTATGAGATTCATTTCTGGAGGAAAATGAGTCAGGGTTTTCCAGCTCTGTTGAGTTCTTCCACATGTCTCCCTCTGACAATGTCTTTTTGCTTCCAAGGCTGCTAGATAATAATGGAACCCAGTGTTTCCCAAAGTATGGTGTGAGTGCCTCATGCATTAAAATGCCCTGTGTGCTTGTTAAAGTGCAGATTCCCAGGCCTCACCCTCACCTACTGAATCCAAATCTGGGTGCCTGTGAGTTTGTTTCCTTTGCAAGCTCCCACTGTGGTTCTGATGGTGACCAAGGTTGGAAACCACTGGCTTACCTCACAGCTGATTCTGGAAGCCGAGCTAGTCATGGAGCATCTTGGCTGCTGGAAATGAGAGAGAAGAGCTGTTTGCAATGTCATGTTCAGGATGCTGCCTAGGGAAGGTTCTGAAACCCTCTTTTAAAAGACTGATCTTGGAGAAAGCACTTGGCTTTGGCAAACACAACAGAAACAAAGGAACTGAAGTCTGGACATTTGTATCGCAGGTATTTTGGAGCTAGAAAGGGCCTTAGAGACCCTTGGGCCCAGATGGCAAGACTGAACACTTTCATATGTGAAAAGATGCTCAGCATCACTAATCATCAGGGAAATGCAAATCCAAACCACAGTGAGATATCACCTCACACCTGTTAGAATGGCTATCATCAAAAAGACAAGAAATACCAAGAATTGGTAAAGATGTGGAGAAGGCTTATTGTACACTGTTGGTGGGATTGTAAATTGGTGTAGCCACCCTGGAAAAGAGTATGGAGGTTCCTTGAAAATTTAAAAATAGAACTATCATATGATCCAGCAATTCCACTTTTGGGTATTTATCTGAAGGAAATGAAATCACTATGTTGAAGACAGACCTGCACCTCCATGTTCATTGCAGCATTTTTTACAATAGCCGAGACATGGAAACAACCTAAATGTTCACTGAGGGATGATTGGATAAACGAAATGTGGTATATAAACAATGGAATATTATTCAGCCATAAAAAAGAGACTGAAATCTTACCATTTGCAATGTGGATGGACCTTGAGGGTGTGATGTTAAGTGAAATAAGTCAAACAGAGAAAGACAAAAACTATAATCACACTTATATGTGGAATCTGAAAAAACACTCATAGAAAAAGAGTTCAGATTTGTGGTTATCTGGTTATCAGAGGCAGGGAGTGGAGGGTGGGGAAATGGATGAAGGTTTTCAAAAGTTACAAACTTGCAGTTATAAGATAAATAAATACTAGGTGTATAATGTACAACATAATGGCTGTAGTTAACACTGCTGTGTGGTATATTTGAAAGTTGTTAAGTGAATAGATCCTAAAAGTTCTCATCACAAGGAAAAAAACAATTTTTCTTTTTTGCTTTTATATCTATATGTGATGATAGATGTTAAGTACACTAATTGCCGTAATCATTTCACAATATATATAAGTCAAGTCATTATGCTGTATACCTTAAATTTATGCAGTGGTGTAAAGCAATTATATCTCAATAAAACTGGGGAAAAGAATTTAAAAAGAAGACTAAACACTTTCCGAGGCAAGGAAAATGATTCAAGACAACCAGGATGTCTACAGGGAGCATCCACCACAGCATCCAGTGTTGCCAAGCAGAAAAGCAGACTCAGTGTGAGAAATCTCCTGACAGTTGAAGAGAAGCTGAACATCTAGATTTTTATATGAAACACCCAACTTTAAAATTAGCAAGTATTCTATTTTTTCTCAAACGCCACACAGATCAAACACACATACCTGTGGATCAGGTCTGCCTGGTGGGCAATCTATTTGCAGCCTCTGCTCTGGTCTGAGCAAGGTCTTTATTTTTCAGAAGAAAAAATGGAGGCAAACAGAAGTGAGGTGACATCCCTAAAGTCCTAGAGGGAGCTAAGGAGAGACCTGGAAGTCTGAGTCTCAGAGCTTGAAGCCCAGAGTACTTCCCAGGTGTCCCCAGCCATGGGAAATTTGGCCCTGAATACAGCTGAGCCTTCATCTCAAACATGCTGCACCCCCAAGGCGGGAGGGAGAAGATATGTCAATGGAGGTGGGGGTGTGGGGATAGTGGCAGGGCCGCTTCTAGGAATATGGACTGAGGTAGCTCTTGTAGTTCCTGTTCCCTGGAAGCAGACTCTGACACATGTGTGCAGGAATTTATAGGGGTGTCTTGGGAATAGCATATGTGAGGGAGTGGGGGAGTGGGATGAGCAGATGGAAAAGCTGAACTGCGGTATAGGTGCAAGGAGGCCTCAGCCCATCCTCTGGGGAACTCTGGCCTTGCAGGGCTGTCTGGTCTTTGTTCCCCCACATCAGCTACTTGGTGGATGTGGGCTGTCTGTCGGAGGGGCGTGACCTTGGGAGAGACTGCTCTGTTTGGCTGAGCCTGTTCCCAAAGAGGGAGGGCAGCCTTGCTTCACCAGCAGCCAACATTCCTGGCCAATTAAGGGGTGAGGGGTGGTAAGAGTTCCTGGTCTGAAAGGGGATCTCGATGGCACCCCATCGTGTCCTCTCCAATTCCCATGGAAATTCCAATTGTTTTAAAAAAGAATTCAAAACTGTATTGTGCCCTATAGTATATGTTTATGGGTTATTAAAAGTGTTTTAGATTCCTCACCATGAAATGAGGTAGAATCTGCAGGGAGTTTCATGGCACCTATTCTTGTGACTCTCAGACTTTCTGAGTGACTGCCACAGGCCTGTGTGAGAAGCCCCTCTCACCTTTGTGTGTGTTATGTGTCCTTGAGTTGGCTCTGACTCTGGGCGACCCTGTGAATGAGTGATGTCCACGTGCCCTGTCCTCAGCAGCCCTGCTCAGCTCCTGTAGACTTATGCCTATGACTTCTTTTATGGAGTCAATGCATGTCATGTTTGGTCTTTTTTTCCTGCTGCTTCCTGTTTTTCCCAGCATTATTGTCTGTCTTCTAGCCTCATTCTTTTCCGGATATGAAACTGCGATCGGGATTATGAGGCTTGCAGGAATCCTACAGCTTGTGAGGGGAGGGCTGGGCATGAACCCACCTGACTGATCCAAAGACCTTTCCACTTATGGCCTCGCAGAAGTATCTGCTCATTCACCACGAAAGGGAACTAAGCGACTGGAAATCCAGTGCTTTCTCTGCAGGCCTGAGGCTTACATTGAAATCTCGAGGGAGCTTGTGAAGAAAGCCTGTGTTGGTTTAAAGTACAAATGGATCTTAAAGAATCTTTGCAATAAGCTGCCTCATTTTGCTAGCAGAACAAAAACAGACTCTCGAACACAGTTAGTGTGAAGGTTTCTGAAAATTACAGATATTTAGCCAATTTTCCCAGGACCTGGCCTTTCATGTTGTGTTGCAAAGGGGTGTCCAAGCAGGGAAGAAAGTGTGGGTGATGGTGCCTTGGGCCACACTCTGCTCACGTCATACTGTGGTCCTCACCCTTCCTGTGGAAGTCTATGAGTGCATCTAGTGTGAGTGCATGTGTGTATATGCACATGTGTGTGAATGGATGTGCATTGTGTGTGCACACGTTTTGGGGTGTGAGATGTGGGAGGCGACCTCATGTAAACATGTCAATGAGTAATGAATAGCAGGGCTTCTGATAACAGGTCCTAGATGGATTTCAGAGAAGGGGACATAATATATAGCAATGTCTCTGTGTGTGTGTGTGTGTGTGTGTGTGTGTGTTGTGTATATATATATATATATAGTCAACATTGTTATATAAATATATAAAGCATTGTTTTATATATAATGTTATATACTTTTTGTTACAATGTATAATGTCATATATAGTATTTTTTTTTAGCTGAGCCATCCTGTCACCTGTTGGCAGCTCAGCCTGGGCTGGGAATCCAACCTGCGACCCTGTTTAGAGCTCACACTCTTGAGCGATCTCTTAACCAACTGAGCCACTCGGCCCGCCCTAGTATTTTTTTCTTATATATGGAAAACTATCACACCTAGAATTTTTCTTTCCTGACTCCATTTCCCTTTTATTCAGGTCTTCGAAGGACTTCATTTACCTGTGCATGACTGGCTGGGCTAGGGTGAAGGGGCTGGTGGAGCCATAGTGAGAAAAGGTTCTGCCATCACTGTTGCTTGTGGGGCTGCCTGCATTTCAGGAAGTGCAGACGCCCTCTAGTGGCCCATGTGGGATGTTCAGGATGAAGAACGCAGGCTCCTTGAGGGGCATTTGGAAAAGAGCCCTAGAAGTTATTCAATCTCGTCTTTATAGGCTGCAGTTTGTTACTCAGATCATTATTTTGACTTCTTCTAGTCTTATTCTAACTCGATGCCATTTTTTTTCTTTTTTGTATGGATAGTTGCATGGAGTCTACTGAAGGAAAGCGAATGATACAAAAATATGAGGATGTGATCTCATTGCTGGAAAAGTAAGCAGCTTCTGGAATTGTCTTGTTTTGCAAATTTCGTAACCCCCACAATGCCTTTTGCAGTCCCAAGTTTGAGCAGATTCCTCAGTGGCTGTGAAATGTTACTCTGTGTTTTATGTTATAACCTCGGTATCTGTGAGTACAGTACTTCTGGGTTACAAACACAGGGTCTCTGGGGAATGAAACTCTATTCTAGAAACAGACACTTTTCTAGTGTAGTTTTGCTGGGAGCGTGAACTCAGCAGAGCTAGAAGTGGGGCACTCCTCATGGCACTCCAAGATCAGTGTCACGGAAAATCGCAGCAGCTGCTCGCTAAGCAGAAGGCAACAGTGCATGCGGCACGAAGAGGAAATACATTTTTAAAATATTTCCTGTGTCCTTTTATGGACAAAGTGTATGAATGAAAATTTCACATGGGTTCATAGTTGTTCCTGTCGCAAAGCTGCAGTATGTCTTTTGGGAATGCACACTGCCCACAGTGTTACTGCATCTGATAATGTCACCACATCCCCTGGAGGGAAAGCCTTTCACTGCCTCCCATCCGCTTCTTAACATGCCGTGAAAAGCCCTCCCTGGCCTTTGCTTCCCTCACCAGCCGCCACACCTGCCCCCACTGACCTCAGGTGTTCCCAGCACACAGTCAGCTGTTTCTCACCTCTACCCTTTGGCTGTTGCGCTGCTTTTGCCAGGAACACTCATTCTGCTTTCATTGTCTAACCTCTGCTCATCCTCTGAAACTCAGCCAAGCATCACGTCAGTGCCTCTTCCATTAAACCTCCCTGGCATTCTTGTCTATCACCTTCACCCACTCACCCACCCACCCCTGCCATTAGAAGCCTAATGCCCTGTGTGTCTCTCTAGGATTGTGTTTGTTGCATTCTCTGTTTACCTGTGGTTTCACCATTAGCCGCAGTTACCATTGGGGTTGAGTCATCATGTTATCCCCTAAGCCCAGCACTCAGTCAGTGTGTAATGACGGAATGACAAATGTCTGTGACCTATGAGAAGATTAGCATGAAAGCAAATCTTTCCCAATAGCTTCTTTTAACATTTACTGAGACTAATCACCACTTCCTTTATTGCCCCAAAAGATCACATGGAGCCTCTCTTTCTACTCTCCTCTAATAAGTTGTGCCATCTTTAGAAATGAGAGGTTACCTGCAGGAGCTGCCATGCTGGCTGAGTCAATGATTCTGGCTTAAGAATGTAGTCAGATATTTTACTAGTAGTGTCTTTAGTTTGATGATAGATAGATAGATAGATAATGTTCTGTATCTTCAGTTAATTATTGCCAGGCATTGGGGAGCTGGGAGGGTACTTAAGAGCTGGCTCTTGTTCCCTGTTCTTGCAGCTATGAGACACGACTTTATGAGACCTGGTGCCAGACGGTATCAGAGAAGTCACAGTACAATCTTTCTCAGCCGCTTCTGAAACGTGACCCAGAGACAAAGCAGATTACAGTCAACTTTAACCCACAGGTTAGTCAGGCAACAGTAATTTCCTGGAGAGTTTTGCTTAACTTTGCTGATTTCAAAGGTAAAGAGGCTTTTTATAAGCATATGCAAAAGCAAGAGAATTTACACTCTGGGCTTCATTTTTGGGATGAATCCTGCAGTGCAGTGTTTTCTTAAGTTATCCAGGGTTTACATTTTTCACCAGGGCTGGCTGATACATGTGCTTTGATTTTTCACAACAGAAAATATTGCAAAGTATTTTTTAAACTTTCATATGATAACAGCTTTATTATGTACTTGACTTCATATACAAAGTTCAAATGATATTATACATAAGATTAACTCATCAAAAAGTTTAAATATTATATTATAGATATGCACTATCTGAAATTCCAGAAGGCATTTAAACAAGATCTTGCTACCCATCTTTGGATATAGAAGAATACATTACTGACCATTTGGTATCAAACAGCTGACCAGGCTTACTTTGAATGTGCACTATATGAGTCCATGGAGGCTGTTGACTGGAGGTCTAAGTGTAAGACCTGGTCCCTGCTCCCAAGGAGCCCACAGCTAGCTGGGAGCTAGAATGTCACCTTACAGAGATCTGTCTTTATTAGATGGCATATGATAAATCTCAGTGGAGTAGCTTTGGAAATAAGATTCTAGATTAGTGATTCTCAACCGAGGCAAGTGTTTCCCCTGCAGACATTTTTGGTTGTCACACAAGGTCTGGATGGCAGTAGCATAGAGTGGGTAGATAGCAGGGGTGCAGCTAAACTTTTTACAAGGCGCAGGATGGGGCCCTACAACAAGGAGGTTTTTCGTCTGAAAATGTCATTCATTCTAAAGTTGAGAAACCCTTCTCTAGGTGATCAGAAGGGTGGACGACCAGTGTGGGTTGGGGCAGCCATGGAAAGCTTCATGCTGGAGAACACAATAATTAAAAGTTAGCCTATATAGGAAATACATCATTCAGCTAAAAAGAAAAAAAAAAAAAAAGGATTGGCCACACTGAGCTAAAAGCAGTCACCTGCTACTGTCCTGATGGCATGTCCTCCAGGAATGCAGTGTAGAGACAGCTGAGAACTGAGTTGACAGCATATTGGTGTCTTTTGAGAAAAAGGTTAAGTAGAACATCAATTCTGACTGAAATAAAAATCAGCAAAGAAGTTGGAGGATTCAGTTCTTTATGCTGGTGAGACATGAGTCTGTCATTTAGCTCATTTAACTCATTAGAGTAATTTAATCAGCATGCACTGTCAGCAGTATTGGACATTAAATGTCCAAAGAGATGAGTTTCTGCTTACCAACTAGGTCATAATCCAGATGTTATAATTGTAGCAATTATGCCCTCGGTATAAGGCAGTACTGAGGATAGACCACTCTTCCTCTGTATACTCCAAGAGCAAGGACTTTATCTGCCTCAATGTGCAACGCACAGTAGGTGCTTTACAGGTGATTATAGGTGATAGAAGGGAAAGGAGGGGGAAGAAAGAAGAAAGACAAGAAAAGGTGAGAGGAGATAAACACCTAAATTATAATGTTATTCAAGGGTGACAACTACAAACACAAGTTAAGAATAGTTGCAAATATCCCTTCACTTCGAATTCTAGCAAGGGGAAATAGCTATGATATTAAGAATAAACAATAATACATACACAGACTGACAATTAAGTTTGCGAACTCATCTTAGAAAAAGTGCTACATACCTCATTGCTGAATATCACTACAGCCACCTTTGAAGTACTTCCCTTGGGAAGCTATGCACCAATGCCAGTGCCTAGTCCACGCTTCAAAGCAATTTTGGATCTTTTTTCTGGAATGGCCATCAGAGTTGTCGTCGTATTACCCTTGATGTCTTGAATGCCATCAAAACGTCTTCCTTTCAATATTTCCTTTATCTTCAGGTAAAGAAAGAAGTCATTGGGGGCCAGATCAGGTGAGTAGGGAGGGAGTTTTAATTCAGTTATTTGTTTACTGGCTAAAAACTCTCACAGACAGTGCTGTGTGAGCTGGTGCATTGTCGTGATGCAAGAGCCATGAATTGTTGGTGAAAAGTTCAGGTCGTTTTCGTCTAACTTTTTCATGCAGCCTTTTTAGCACTTCCAAATAGTAAACTTGGTTAACTGTTTATCAGGTTGATACAAATTCATAATGAATAATCCCTCTGATATCAAAAAAGGTTAGCAACATCATTGCAACAAGTTTGTGAACTTGATTGTCAGACTTTGTATGTCATTCTGAGGGACATGATCAGAGTTTGCCCCTTTGGGACCAGGATAAGAATTGTATGGGGGAAAATTTATGTATATATAATTTATTTAAATTATTTAAATGTCTGATTGTTGGACATTTAAATTATTTTTCTAGTATTATTAATATATATTTCATTGATTCTGGGGTCACATTTTTTTATTTCTTATCTCTGAAAATGACATGTGTTTATAATATGAAAACGACATTTTTTTTTCTTTCTTCCTTAGTTGGGCATGTAATAATAGTGAACCCCACCATCATTGGCATCTTGCAGTGAGATAGAATATGGTATAAATAATGTTACAATAAATACCTTCAGTTATTGTTGCATCTATCCTTGATTTTTTGGGGGGGATAAATGCCTAGAAATTGTGATTGCTGGGCTAAAGGGTGCTCACATTTTTAGACTTTTAATGTATATATTATCAATTTGTTCTTCAGAAAGGTGGAATTCAGGATTCTCCTGCCAGGAAGATATTCATTTTTCTAACCACTTCCAGCCTGTTGAACTAGAAAACATAATATCTCAATATTTTTTTAATTTGCATTTATTTGACCACTAGTGAAGTAGAACTTTTTTATGTGTGCATTGGCTGCTTATATTTCTTCTTCTATGAATTGCTTGTTCATGTCCTTTTGAGTGGAAGTGCCCTCTTTTCCTGGGAATTTGTTAGAGTATTTAGGAAATATTTGTCAGATATTAAGAAATCTGCTGCAAATATTTTTACCAGTTGAAGTATGCCATTTTATTATGTGTACTCGTATGCTATTTTATGCATATAAATTTTATCTTCTGTGGTTGTATGTTCAGAATGGCCTTCTCTACCTCATTATTATATAAATAGGCCCATATTTTCTCTTAATTTTTGTTTTCATTTCTTACATTTAAATTTTTAATATCAATCTTGAGCTTATTTCAAAATAAACTAGAAGGCTGAGGTCATGTCCCTGCCAACTGGTTAGCATTTGTCTTAACCCTGAGTGGGGTTTGCTGGGTGGCAAGAAGAGCTGGCCCAGAGCCACTTGAAGGAGAGCTGGGAGCCCAGGTGTCTCGATATGCAGGAAGTGGGCGGCGAGTGTAGAGGGAAGCCAGGGGAGAATCTTTGGCCTGGTATGCTTTGCCACGCATACCTATACACATCAGTCCCTGTAGGTTCAGAGGTAAACGCAACGGATAAGCAAGGGATGATGAACAGGGTGCTTAGAAACCCTGCCAGAGGCCTCTCTGTCTTTTCACTGGACCACATCTGCTTGGCTTCTTACTTCTGCGGTTGCTGCTAAACTCAGCGCCCCACAGACATTCAGAGAGGCCTGGGTGGAGTCCATCTCCTGACCTCCTAGTACATTAAAACACAAAGACGTGCCAGCACAGGGCTCTGTCAAATGATTATATGTAACAGAGTTGTACAATGGGCACCTGCTCTCAATCCTGTTAGTTCTATGACTATGCGAATGACCTCATTTGGAGAGACGATTAGGAGTCTAAATTTGAGATTTCTCATGTATGCAGGTGGCCCAGATCAGATGATCCTTCTGCATACCACCATCCCTTGATGGGAACTGGCTTGGTCAGTATGAGCCTGTCATGTTATCAGCCACATGTCCTAAAGCATCAAGACCAAGCCCTCTCCTACTATCACTGATGCCTCCTTTCTCAGGTTTTCCACCACTTGCTCTTTGTGATTTATAGATTCAGTTAACCTTGCTGCTTCCTTTCTTTTAATTAAAATTTATTGGGGTGACAATGGTTAGTAAAATTACATAGGTTTCAAGTGTACAGTTCTGTAGTACATCATCTATATATCCCATTGTGTGTTCACCACCCAGAGTCAATTCTCCTTCCTTCACTATATATTTGACCCCCTTTACCCTCTTCTAGCAACCCCTACCCCCGCTTACCCTGTAACCACGGAGCTATTTTCTGTGTCTATGAGCTTTTGTTTCTTTATGTGTTTGTCTTGTTCCTTTGTTGTTTTCAATTTTATATCCCACATATCAGTGAAATCATATGGTTCTCGATTTTTTCTGTCTGATTTATTTTGCTTAGCATAATAATCTCAAGATCCATTCATGTTGTCGCAAATGGCATTATTTCATCTTTTCTTATGGCAGAGTAGTATTCCATTGTGTACATATACCACATCTTTATCCAATCATCTATTGAAGGACACATTTGTTGTTTCCATGTCTTGGCCATCATAAATAAAGCTGCAGTGAACATTGGAGCACATATATCTTTACGGCTAAATGTTTTCAGATTTTTTGGGTAGATACCCAGGAGAGGGATTGCTGGGTCGTATGGTAATTTTATTCTTCATTTTTTGAGGAACCTCCACACTGCCTTCCAGAGCAGTTGCACCAATCTGCATTCCCACCAACAGTGTATGAGGGATGCTCAGCGTCACTAATCATCAGAGAAATGCAAATAAAAATCACAATGAGATGTCACCTTACACCACTTAGAATGGCTATCATCAAGACTAATAATAATAACCTTGCTGCTTTCTGACTCATCTTCCTTCTGCCTAATACTCTACTTCCCTTCTCTGAAACTAGATTTAAGGAGCTGGTAGGAGCAGAAGTTAAGAAGGGACCCAGAAGGCCTTTAGGTTCCCTGGGGTTTTCCAGTCCTTCCAATATTCCTGCTATTCACTGCCACTGAACTACAGCTACTTACATCAGTTCTTTCTTCCAGCTGATTTCAGTGATGAAAGAAATGAGTTATCTTCAACCCAGGCAGATGAAGCACATCCCTGAGACAGCAATAGCCATGTTCTCCTCCAGGGAATTCTATCGGCAGCTTGTGGCTAATTTGGAGTTGATGGCAAATTGGTACAACAAGGTTATGAACACTCTGCTAGAGGTGGAATTTCCATTAGTGGAGAAAGAGCTGCAGAATATCGATCTCTGCCTGAGAGCTGCAGAGGAGACTCTGAACTGGAAAACAGAAGGTAACGGCACCACCTGGAATCTGGGGAAAAGGTTGAGAGTCAAGATTCTAATAAAGTTGGTAGACCCTCAAGTGACTGGCCCGTAATCTGGTTTGCGTTTGATATACTAGTCAACCTTCTCAGACATATATCCAAAGTAGAGAAGGCAAGAAGGGTTGGTATTCCTCTTCTTACTTCTCTTTGCTTATAATCAGTAGATTTAGAAAACTTTTCTGCCACGCACTCGGGGAGGCTCAGAGGTTGCATGAGCTCTCCCACAGTCTCCAGCATATATTGGGCAATCCATGAATGAGGGTTTTTACTATCACTGTTACTTAATTTTCTTAACTAGACTGTAAACATCTAAAATGAGGAAATATGCATTTTACTTCTCTTGTATTCTCCATTTCTATTCAGTAAACTTTCATTGATGGATTAACATATGTGAGGTACTCTGGGAGGGACTGTGGGGAGAATATGAGATATGAGGTATATGAGACATGGCCCCTACCCTCAAAGAGCTCACATTTAGTGGGGACACAGACATGTACAACATAAATCATACAAGACATGCTATGATCAAGAGTCATCATAGAGTTACAAATAAAGTTTGATGAATCACAGGGAAGGGAGATTAATTTGCATTACGGTCCTCAGAAGAGTTCACATTCGAAAAGAAGGTCATAGTCAACTCATGGAAGTCTTGGAATGCCATATTAAACAAGTTAGAACTGTATTTCATATACAAGAGGGAATACTTTCAACATTTAATACAGTGAAAGTGCTTAAAAAATAAGATTCATTAACCCAAATAAAGTCACGAAGTTGCACTGGGAGGCCCCAGCAAATGTATCAACTTTTGTGTGCTTGGTAGGTAAGCATTACCTGTTTCTTTCTTTTCCTCCATAATCAGGGTTATGCTAAGAGCTGGCTTTTTTATACAACTGGGAAGAAAAAGGCTGAGTATACTGAAGTAACCTGTGCCGAAAAGTCTTAGGGGATTAAATCTCTATCTTTCATAGCAACTAGACCTTTAGCTGTGCACTGTCAGCTATTTCAATTAATTCTGTTTCTTTTGGGGAGCAGGCATTTGGGATTATGTCAATCAAATCTCCAACAATATTCATGATCTTGAACAAAGAATTCAGAAAACCAAAGACAATGTGGAAGAGATTCAAAGCATCATGAAAACATGGGTGTCTCCAATCTTTAAGAGAAAAGATGGGAGAAAGGAAGGCCTTCTTTCCATGGATGATCAGCATGATCGAATGGAAAAATATTACAGTTGCATCGAAGAATCTGGCCTTAAGATTCATACCCTTGTTCAGGTAATAACCCGCCTCTCAGTCACCCGTACCTGGAGTATAGGGAAAGCATCAAGAAGTGTGTTTGGTTGCCAGAAGTGATTTGGAAATTAGAACAGTCAGTGGATGCTGTGTCTTCTGCAGTCAGAGATAGATGTTTATACTGATAGCAAAAGAACTAAAACTAGTAGATAGGGGGAGTGAAAAGTCACATTCTGGTATCTGTGTGTCAAAATTAATACTATCTTAATGGCGATACCACTTAGTCATCGCGTGACTTAAGTCCCACACCAAACCCCAGGGGGATAGAAGGAGAAGAGGACAGAATCCTAAATTATCTATTGCCCTAACCACCCCCAACTTGTCCACACAACCTAGTGTGGACCTCCAACATCATCTTCATAATATATTAATAGCTCTGTAGAGCCTGAAGAGATGAGAGATTCCCATTTTTTTCCCTAACTGCAGTGATAAGGAGAAGAAACAATGCAGAGTGCTGCACTTAATGCAGTAAGGCTCTGCCCTGCATTGTGGTCATGGCAACCTTAGGTCTCATCATCAAATGAACTGTGGGAAAGAGCTGTAAATGGCCTCCAGGTAACCATGCGGCAGTTCTGACAGGTTGATCTCGTGCACAAAATCAGTCATGAAGTACAGCTGTTATTTTTGGGTTATCTACAGTTTGAAGTACTGTGATATTGTACTTTTGACTTCTAGTTTATTAATTTCTGTTTATTATTTATTTCTTGCTGATATGGGGTTAATTTGCTTTTTTTTTCTAACCTATAAGGGTAGAAACTTTGGTATTATTTTAAGGCTTTATTTCTTTCTAATACAAGCAGTTGATGACATACATTTTCCCCTTAGCAGTGCTTTACTTGCATTCCACAAATTTGATCTGCCTCATTTTCATTATCATTCAGTTTTAAATTTTTTCTCTTGTGATTTCTTTCACTCAGCGCTCATTTAGAAGTATATTGTTTAATTTCCACATATTTGGGGCTTCTCTGTATATCTTAATAAAATTGGTATCTAATTTAATTCCATTGTGGTTCAGAGAAAACACTCTGTAAGATTTCAGTCAGTGGGAATTCACTGAGACTTGTTCCATGGCCTAGAATATTGTCTGTCTTATGCAGTGTTTCTTGTGCACTTGAAAATATGTTTATTCTCCCGTTGTTGGGTATAGTGTTCCATAAATATCAATTAGTTCAAAGTGGTTGATAATATTGTCCAGATCTTCTATATACTTTCTGCTTTTTGTCTATTTGTTCTACCAGGTACTGAAGGTACAGTATTAAATCTCCACCTATGATTTTTTATTTGTCTATTTAATCCTTTAGTTCTGTGGGATTTTTCAAGTGTTTGAACCCCTGTTGTTAGTAGGTACAAATATATTTATAATTATTATAACTTCTGATAAACTGACCATTTTATCATTATTCCCTTCTATTTAGAAATTCCCTTTTTATTTCTAAAAGTACTCCTTTGCCTTGAAGTTTGTTTTGTTTTTTTCTTGTAATACTATAGTCTTTCCTTCCAGACTCACTATTTCCGCATTTTTCATTGTCCATCTTTTTCCACTCTTTTACATTCAGCCTGTGGGTTTCTTTGGATTCAAATTTCTTCTCTTATATTCAGTATATAGTATTTAGAAAACTACTTTTCTAAGTCTAACAACTGTGCCTATTAATTGGAATGTTTAGACTATTACATTTAATGTAATTATTGGTATGGATGGATTTAACTACCATTTTGCTATTTCTTTTCTATGTTTTTTTGTTTCTCTGCTCCTCCTTTCCCACCTTCTTGTTATTAATTGTGTGTTTTTAGTATTCTATTTTAATTTGTCAATTAGCATTTCAGATTTACCTTGTTGTATAACATTTGCAGTGGTTGTTATATGTCTCTTAAACTAAATACAATTGACTTAGAGTTTTCCCATGAAATATAGGAAACTAGCAACAGTATGGTTCAATCCAGCTGCCCCTCATCTTTCACACTGTTGCTGTGTGTGTGTGTGTGAAATAAACCCCACAATAGAGTAGTATACGTATTTTTTTACTTTAAAAACTCAAGAAAAAAATATTTATATTATTTTATATGTACCCATATACTCACTATTTTGAGACTTGTTTTTCCTTTTTGTAGAAATGAGTTACCATCTTGCAGGTCTGCTAATGGCACATTCTCTGTTTTTGTTTATCTAAAAATATTCTTATTTCACTTTTTAAAATTTTTATTTATTATTTTGGCATTGAAGAATTTTGTTTCTTAGTTTCAGGTGTACAAATCAACGTAAAGATTAAACATTTACACACCTCACAAATTGATAACCCCAAGTCTCCTACCCATCTGACACCATACATAGCTGTTACATTACCATTAATTATATTTCCTATGCTGTACTTCACATCTATATACATTTACATATATATACATTCAATATTATTTTATATTAGTTTCAGGTGTACAGTGCAGTGGTGAGGCATTTATATAATTTATGAAGTGATCCCCCCCGATTAGTCTAGTACCCATCTGACACCATACATAGTTTTTACAATGTAAATACAGTATGGGGAATATTGGTTATATTCCCCATACTGTATTTCATATCCCCATGACTATTTTATGACTACCAATTTGTACTTCCTAATCCCTTCACCTTTCTCACCTATTCACTTTTGTTTTTGATAGGTAGTTTCATTGGATACAGAATTGTGTAGTGTAGACAGTTTTATTTTTCTTTCAGAAGTCATTTTATTGCCTTCTGTCCTCCAATGTTTCTGATCAGAAACCAGCCATAATTTGTAACTTTATTCCTCTATATGCAATGTATTGTTTCTCTCAGCCTGCTTTTAATAGTCTTTTTTTCATTTTTGTATTTTTTTCCCATTCGTCTATGATGTGCCTAAACAGGTTTTCTTTATATTCATCCTGCTTGGAGTTTTTTAGATTCTTGAATCTGTTTTTCACCAAATTTGGGGCATTTTCTATCAAATTATGACATTATTGTCTGCTAATTTGAACATCCATTTTATTTTCTGAGTCTTTTTTTAAATGCAACAGAAGTTTATTTTCCTTTCACATAAAATGAGTCTAAGAAATAGGCATTCCAGGATTGGTATGGCAGTTATTTTCTGAGTCTGTTCTTAGTCATTATTTTCTTTCTCAGTTAAATGTCTGCTTTTTAGCATGTCTAGTAATTTTTTATTATCTTCTAGTCATGTTAGGTACCATTTTAGAACCTGGGTGTTATTTCCCCTAAAGAGTTTGTTTTTTTATTTTGGCAGGCAGTTAACTTACTTATTGGGTCAGCTTGATCCAATTTTAAGCTTTGTTAGGGAGGGTCTAAAGAGGGCTTACTCTAGAACAGACCAGCTCTAATCCTAGAACATGGTATCTGGGGTCTCAACCTAATTCCTGGGTTATCTACAAGGTCCTTTCATTATTTCTGAGAGAATACAAACATCTTCCATCACTTTATGACTTACACAATCTCCACTCAGCTTAGAATCCCCAGTCACTGTTGTCTTACATGCCTTGTAGAGTCTTACCCTAAATGTGTACAGCTTAGTACTCAAAGACTCAAGAGGATTCTGCAATATCAGCCATCTCAAACCTCAGTTTCTGTCTTTTCTGCCCAGCAGGAAGGATTCTGTGATTGTGCTCTATTTTCCTTTGTCATGGTTTGGAAAAATGCTTTTAGGTAGAAAACAATGTGGTTCTAAAGTTCACCTTGAGTATTCCCCTTCTCTCAAGGATCGCATCCCTATACTGTTTGTCATCTAGTTGCCCAAAATAATTGTTTCTTGTCTTGCATCCAGTTATATAGCTGTTTATAGCAGAAGGGCAAGCCTGATCTCATCCCCCTGTCTTGGTTAGAATCAGAAACTTGAGCTATTTTTTTTTAGTTTACAGAAAATTCCTACATGTTTGCTTCGTAGACCATAGTAGATTTGAGATAGAAAGTTAAAAGTACAGATAGTTATATTGATAGCATGACATTAGAGAGGAGATAAAACAACTATACAAAGCAGTCATAAAAATGAAGTAGATCAAACAAACATACACATCTTAATAACAGCTGAGAGTAACACTATATTGTCACTGTTGTGATTTGTGTGATGATGGACTTTAAGTCATTAAGAAAATCTTAAATCTACTTGAAAAGGAAAGGTGTAGATAATGCATTTTAGAAATTTTAGAGTTTTGTTGCTCAAAGGCATGATCATGAGATTTTTTTTTTTTTAATCCGGGGCGATGTAACAACATGGAAATGTTTGTAAAGTGGTCAGTGTGGATCAACTAGAAAATTTACTTCTGCAAAGTAGTTACCATTCTCTTTGAAGATATAAGATAAATGGAAAGTTGCTGTTAGAAAGCTTAATAATGAAAATGATGAAGAATAAATGGGATATCTGTACTTGTCATACAACCAGGAGAGAGAGAGAGGGTGGGAGGGAGGGAGGGGAAGAGAGGAGAGGAGAGAAAACATATGCATTTATTTATGTGTATGTGTTTTCTAAATCACTTAATATGATGAAGATTTTTAGTTAATATTAAATGCCAACTGCAAAACACTCCAGCTCATTTCTAAGGATTAGCCAGGAAATGCTTTACTTGCTTGAACCCCAAATTTCTTATAAGCTTTGAATCATAATGCCTTCTGCCCTTAGGATTCCTTCCTGTAACTTCCCTAACTTCTGCTCCAATGCAGCTTCCTTCACAGCACATCAGTCAGCATTTATGAAGCACACACTGCACCCATCAGCATTCCTGCTAAGAACGTGGCTTGATCCGATCTTCCTTTCTTTCCCAGAGACCCCCCCATCCCTTCATGGATTAACTTTATGTTCCTTTCAATCAATGGTTAAGCCCATTAGACAGAATGAATTTGATACACAAGAATAGCAAGTTCATCACAAGAATGTTTTTTTCTCCATGTGTTTATATTCCTACTAATGATGATTAGACAAGTCCTTCCATATTATTAAACATGGTTTACATCTCTTCTTTATTTTTTAGGATAACCTGCATCTTTTTTCAGCAGATCCAACCTCCAATATATGGAAGACTTACGTTAACTACATAGATGATATGTTGCTAGATGGATTCTTTCTTGCCATCGAGTGCTCCCTCAAGTACCTTCTGGAAAATACTGGTATTTACTAGCTTATGGATACGGGTTACTACTGAAACGATAACAGTAATAGCATCTGTTGAGTTACAGTGGAGTGCAGTTGAGTGCTCTGTGACTTTTCCCAAAAAGATTATGGACATTTTGTGAATTATACCCAGTAAAATAGCAAAGGTATTGAGTTTCTAAATTGTTGAAAGAGAAGAGACCTCCCTCTTTTCAAAACTCAAATGATCAACCAGGCTCTAAGATAGTGATGCTCATAACAAAAGCAAAAACATAAAAGCTAATTTCAGTGGAAATCAAGCTTAAGTAAAGAGTGACTAAGGTGCAATAGTGGGAAGTACAGTCAGCAGTGGCAGCTTCATCTAGACTTGACACATGGCAATAGGGGGAAGACATTTTGTGTCTTCAGGCTTAATGCACTGTCTCCACAGCTGTTGGAGAACACAGTGAGGTTGTAGTAGCTGGGTTAAGTGGAAGAAACGGAAGTCTTTCTGTGTGAAAAAGAGATAGGAAGCTGGGGATAAGGTTGCTCTCAGGAGGAAAAGGAATGTTAAGAAGGTAGTGAGCATTCTTTGAAGCTGTTAAAAGCAGCTAAGGGCTTTGAATTTATGGTAGGTACACTGGGTTCAGTTGCACAGAGACAAAGATATTATAGCAAGATCTAACCTTGGCTAGTAAGCGATGGGGTAGAAAGGCCAGAAGAGTTCAGGACTACTTTTCACATTCTGGTAGCTTCTGAGTTGCTTAGCAAGGGTCATAGTGAAGAATGAGTCAAAATGGAAGGGCAGAAGTGAATATTTTGAAGCCAGAGGATGAAGGTGAGATGAGACTTTAAGACGTCAAATCCAACCCAAGGAAAGAAATCAAATGCAAAGTTAAAATAGGTGGGCCAGGATCAGTGTTCACATATCCTGTCCATACAGAAAGACACATGTAGACACCTAGGCTGAGAATAGAGAGGAGTGAGGCCCAGGGCTGGGGATAGCTCAAACCAGCAAGCCCCCATGGCCTGTGTCAGTGGAGTGACTGAGGTCAGAGGCAAGGTGTTTGCAGGGTGCAGGTGTGCTCCAAATCCATGAAGTACAGCAGCAGGAAACGGGCTTCAGCACAGTCAGCAAGGTGGTGATCCACCTTCTAGAGCCTGGGGGCAAGTAACCAGTGAGGCATTAAACGTAGGCACTGAGACTGGAGAACTGGTTCCTAGGGACCAGCGCCGACAGCGCTCACCTTAGTGACCTGACCAATCCTCCTCTGATGGAGGTTTGGGTTCCTGGTTTTTCATCCCACCTCTAGAAGGTGTAGGAAGATGCCTCAGCCATACTCGGGTGCAGGCAGTACAAGAGAGATGATCCCTAAGTGTAGTGACTCCCCGTTGACCAATGGCTACCCAGCTCTCCTGACTGGACTGTTTGATGTGTCCGTTGTCCTCCTCTCGTGAGAAGGAGAGAGTGGGAATAAGAGACAGAGAGAGGAGATGGTAGTGTTTCTCTAAGATTGCCAAAGTTACCTTTCCTCCATGGCAACGGGAAGGAAGGGGAACACATTTTCTTCACAATCTAAAATAGGCAGGAGCTATATTTTGCAGTTGCCTGAGCTGAGGTGCTCAGGCAACTGCAAAATATCGATAAAATTTTAAAGGCACTGGTGAAGGTGAAGGAAACTTTAAGAAGAAAATCACTGAGATCCTTTGCAGTAGCCCAGCTGGATGGTTTCACTTTCCTGGTCCACCTTACCATTTCCACCTTCTCTTGTTTGGTCAGGCCAGTACCATTCCCATGGCTTGGTTTGGCCTCCCAGCCAAGTCTCAGAATCTAAACCCCACCTCAATTAAATTCTGCTCACTATATCCAGAAATGCTCTTTCCCTTCTTAATTCCTAGAGTGATTTATTTGTACCAATGTTGTTGAACCATCAAGACCATCAGGTTTGTATGGTAATTATGTCGGCATTGCATCTAACATAATGATTAGTTAGGTTCTCATGACAGCATATGGGGCAAAAATCTCATATAGTCAAAATATACTTGAAAATCTTTTAAATCCTTTAAACTATATGCAACCTGATCTACTAAATTATGTCTAATGCATGTAGGATGCAGACTATATCATGAGTACACATGCAAAGCATAATCTTAATTTTTTAAAAACTGTTCTATGATAGTGTCATAATTACTGTGATATTGGTGAACTTGCATTCCCTTAAGTTAAATATGCATTTGATGGGACGCTCCTGAGTCCAATAATGCAGATTTATCACTCTTGCAGTTTTGAGAGTAAGACACTGATCTTACATATCTTTGTGGATTCCACAGTTTTTTAGTTAGGGAGAATGGCTAAGCTGTGGGAACCAAAACTCCATCGGTAATGTAGTTTAAAAGACAAAGAAGTCTATCCCTCAAGTGCTAGTCCAAAGCGAGTGCTCCAGGGGCATGGGCAAGTTCCTCCTATCCTGTGGTTTCATCACTGTCTCTGGCTGAGTCTTCATCCCTGTGCTTCAGCTGGGTCACCGCCACACCCAGGCCTAGCCTGTGGGAGGAGTAGAAAAGGCTCACCTGCTGTCTCAAAGGCCCCAGCCCATAAGGGGCGCCCATCACTACTTCCCACATTCCCCTGGAGAGGGAATGATGTTGCTACACCTAACTGCAAGCTGGGAAATGCCACATGCTCAATGATAACTCTATTTCTAGGGAAGAGGGCATAATGGATTTCAGTGAGCAATTTCATGCCACTCACAGTATCCAGCACATGACAGTCCCCTAAGTATTTCTACAATCAAAAAAGATATATGAAAATAAGTGGTTATTGATAAAAGTTTAAGCATTTATCTTGTACTTGGAATATCTTACTCCATGTTATATTTTGATTTAAACTTAGAAAGTCAAGTTAGTCTAGCAAGTAATCAGGGATTTGCTAATTATTTACACTGTTTTTTGAATTTTTTATCACTATAGGACTACAGAATTAAAATAAGTTCTGGTTTTTATAGAAAAAAAGCAGAAGGGGCAGGATTATAACTTCTCTTTGTTTTTCATGCCTATATAACCATGGGCAAGCATACCCCGTTCACCTAGTGGCTTCCCATGGAATTGCGTGGTTTGTGCCTGGGAAGAAATCAGCTGCTTCCAAGAAATTGGCTTTGTAAAATCAACGTCTTCTCAACCAGAGGCTGTACTGCCTCCCGGGAAGCATTTGGGAATGTGGAAGGGGACTGGCTGGAGTTGAGCAGTCACTGGGATGTGCCCTCTGAAGACAAGGAGAGCAAATGTTCTGTAATGCCCAGGACATCCCTGCACAAGAATTAGCCTGTTCAAAATGTCAGTGGTTCCCCTGCTGGTAAACACTGTAGGACTATCACCCTCACCTCTCCTGCGTGTTAGCAAATTTTACATTTCCAGTCTCCACACCCGAACAGCTCGTTTAAAGGAAGGAAATGCTCTGAGTGTTTTGAAAACCGTATTTCTCTTTGCCCATTTTACCGATTCTCTTTCTTTGCTGTTCTTGTTTTTCAGAATGTAAGGCTGTGCTCACCCCCATATTTGAAGCACAGCTGAGCTTAGAAATCCCAGAATTAGTTTTCTACCCATCTCTGGAGTCCGGAGTGAAGGGCGGTTTCTATGACATTGTTGAAGGTCTTGTCAACAGCATTTTTAGAATATCGTCTTTGGTGCCACGGCTGTCCCCACAAAACAGTGCTCCCCACTATCAGGTACTGGATCTGGAGCCATCCCGCTTTCCAGCAAAATCAGAGACTTCCTGCCAAGTGCTGGTGTAACCCACCTGCTGTTGTCTTGCTTCCCCAGGTTGACATGGAGGGCATGGCTGACTTGGCAAGGATGCGGGTCACACTCATGGACAGAGTCCAGAGCATGAGCGCCCTCTGCTGCAAGTATCGAAACACCTTCGGGCAATATTCCTACCTCTACGTGGAGGACCGGAAGGAGATTCTGGGTCAGTTTCTGTTGTATGGGCGTGTCCTCACCCCTGAGGAGATCGAAGCCCATGTGGAAGAGGACATCCCAGAGAACCCTCCCCTCCTCCATCAGTTTAAAGCACAAATCGATTTCTATGAAAAGCTCTACGAAGATGTGTGCAGGCTGGAGCCCATCAAGGTGTTTGACAGCTGGATGAAGATTGACGTGCGACCCTTTAAAGCATCTCTGCTGAATATAATTAAGAAGTGGAGCCTCATGTTCAAGCAGCATCTTGTTGACTATGTCACTGACAGGTAATGTGGTTGTTCCAGCTTTCTTCCAGCGTCCCAGGCTGTCGGGAACACCATGTTTTTAACTGTCTTCATATTTTTCCCCGTGGGTTCTTTGGTTACTTAAAACTTAAAACAGCTGGTTGGAAGTTCTAGGCTTTTGAACACCGGTGGTAACTTTAGTCCTGCCCTTTCCTTTGTTCACCAGACATGACCTCTCTTCATTTTATTTTCCATTTGGTGCCCAGTGTGTGAAAGGCACTCAGTAAGTGGTAAATAATGTTCAGTACAATAATAGAAAGTCCAACCTGCCTTCACAACTCTGACTGTGAAACCTCTTTAAGCCTGAGAGGCAGACAAGGCCTAATGCGCCTCTTAGATTTTATTTCTACCCCTCACTCCTTGTCTCAGATTATCCAGCTGTGCAATGCGGAAGTCACTAAATCCCCATACTCCTGATGCCTGTCTGTGCCACTCTAGCTTTTTGCTACAGATTGGATCTGAAATTCTGTCTGTTCCACCGTGGGCCTAGATGACTCAGCCTAGCCCCAGGCTCTCTAAGCAAGAGCATCACCCTCTAAATAAATGCTCAAGTTGGTTAGCAGTGTTCTGGTCACTTCACCTCAGCCTTGTCTCACAGATCCACCACAGTCAGAATTTAGACTCCCACCCCTTCCTCACAGAATCCTGGGGGGTGGCACAGTCCCACCATTCAGGCATCAGCCTTTGGTGTGCCAGCTGATGCTACCTGGCCCCTCTCCAGAGTTTGGTGCTGGTCTGGCTTAATGCTGCAGCTCTCCTGCTCAGTGATCTAGAAAGGAAGCAGCCAAGTTGAGGATGTGTCTGTCTACAAATAAATCTGGAGACTTTGCAGGAGTGACGGTCCACCACTAGAAAACTGCAGGAAAGCAACATGAGATATTTCAAATAGGGCGTCGCAGGTGTTGTTTAGGAAGAAGCCAGTTTTCCACATTCAGAGAGGCAAGAAGGGGAAGCAGTGGTGGGAGTTGGGGAGGTGACGGTGATGCCCTGAATCGAGTAATGTTCAAGGGACAGCTGCTCTGGGGTCCCTCTCCATTAGTAGGTCTAGTGATCCAAGGGCACGGGGGCATTTTTCAAAATTTGGATTTTATTAGTATTTAGGTTTGGCAAGGCCTACAGATCAGGTCATGACTGCCACTGAAAGGGTAGTTTGTTAGACTCATAGATCCCAAGAGAAGGGGCCACTCCACACCACACAGGACCACACAGGAAGGCACCAGTTTCGGTCAGGAGACAGAATGAGCCAGGGAACACATGGGCAAGAGCCCTTATTGTGGTTTCCATGGAAAAGAATGGGTGAGATGGGGCAAGCAGGTTCAGGGTTGTCTAGTTTGAATCACTTCAACAGACTCTGGGGATTAGGGGATGTCCTTCATTGTCTGGTACTTGGCTCTGGGGTAATTAGGGCAAGTGGACAGTGTCATGGAGTATGAGAGCCAGTTAGAGGAGGTGGTTGGGGGTATAGACTCTGGGCTGATTGATTTGCATATGAAAGACATGCTCAAAGGTGAGTCATTTACTAAGGAGTCAGCTGACTCTGAGAGGGGCAGTTCTTCCCAGATCAGCAAGGCCCCAGATGTTAGAGCCTCAGAAACCCATGGTTGATCCAGGAAGTAGTGATAGCAGCTTCCGTGTATCTCTCCCAGGTAAGGCTTCAGATGAACTAACAGTTGGCTTAACAGGACAATCAGATGGCAGAGCAGTTAGAAGAACTTAGTCCTTGTCCTTGAACCTGTTTCCTGGAAGAAGACAGTAAGACTGGGTTTCTCTAAGGTACCTTCCAGTGTTATTAGTTGGTGATTCCATATACTTACTACTTTGCTATACTTTAGGAGAATGTGTTATTGTGTTCTCAAGGATTAGGTAACATAGATATAATAAGAACAATAAAAACCACTTATTTTTGAATGTCTACTATGTGCCATGTAATTCTGTGATTTCCACTTTTCCTTAGTACGTGCCAGGATAATCCCATCTGGCCTTATTTCTTACATACTTCATTTACTGTGAGAAGTCTGACCCTTTTTTTTCACCTGACGACCTATCAATCTCTTCTATCTGGCTGTTCCTGAGTTGTTCAGGGTGGGCTGCTGTGATATTGTGATTTATAATAAGAAATACATCATTGGTCTTTGTCCCCATTTCTGGCACAGAAATTCCTAAGTGATGAGAGTGATAAGGTGTCTTTTGTTATGTTAATGAGGTGACTTTTGGACCCCACCTAAGGATGTGGGCTGGTTGCCAGGAGAACCAATCATGTGATTAGAGGCTGGAACTTTCAGTCCAGCCCCCACCCCACACCTCCCCCATTTCTAGGGAAGGAAGAGGGGCTGGAGGTTGAAACAATAGCCGAAGGCCAAAGATTAAATCAATCATGTCTATGTAACCAAACCTCCATAAAAAAAACAAAAAAAGCAGGATTTGGAAAGCTTCCAAGTTGGTCAACATGTGGAGATTTGGGGAGAGTGGTGGGCTTGAAGAGGGTATGGAAGCTCCACGTTCTTTCCCAATCTCTTGGCCTATCGATCTCTTTCATCTGGCTGTTCCTGAGTTATATCCTTTTATGATAAAACAGTCATCAAGTGAGTAAGCAGGTTCCCTGAGTTCTGTGAGCTGCTCTAACAAATTAATGGAACCCAAGCAGGAGATCATTCAAACCTCCAATCTATAGCTCGTTAGTCAGAGGCACAAGTGACAACCTGGATTTGGGACTGGTGTCTGAAGGGTAGGACCGAGCCCTTAACCTGTGGAATCTGATGCTTTCTCCAGGTAGATAGTGTCAGAATTGAGTTGAAGTATGGTACATCCAGCTGGTATCAGAGAATTGCTTGGTGGTATGGAGAACCCGCCACTCCACTCCCCCATACACAGTGCAATTGGTATTAAATCCTAGTAGCTGCCATAAAAAAATAACACATACTAGAAGTCCAAGATCAAGGTGCCAGCTTATATGATTCCTGGTGAGAGCTATCTTCCTGGCTTGCAGACAGACACCTTCTCATTGTGTTCTAACATGGCCTTTCCTCAGTGCCTGTGCAGACAGGAGAGAGGGAGAGGGAGAGGGAGAGGAGGGAGAGGGAGAGGGAGAGGATCACATTGGTGGTTAGGGTTTCAACATAGGAATTTGTGGGAGACACAGACATTCAGTCCATAACATCATCTAAACTCAGCTGTCTCCCCCATTTAGCTTTTTATGCCCTAATCTGACTCAACTCCCACCCTTGCCCTTGCAAAGCCTTCCCCTAGACTTCAAGATCCTTCATCAACAAATGCCCACTGTTTTCTTCATCTTTTCCTATCCTTTTTTTGCTCTAACAGAAACCCATCCCTTTCCTGAGGATGCTGATTCCCTTGTAGCCCTCCCAAACTGGGGATGATTTTTCTCCTGTATACCTCTTACTACTGGGCCTGGAGATAGATAACATATTCTTACTCTTTAGTGCTTCTTTCAGACCTTTTTGCCACCTCCTCAAAATCCTCAACTCCATGGGAGCAAATTCTGTCAGACACTACCAACTGCCACTTGTCCTTATGCAGTCACTAAGGACGCTCTGAGTCATTCTTCCCATCACTGCAGGTCTTATCATCTGGCTTAGCCTTCCCTTCCCACCTTTCTGCTGATAATCATCCCCAGTGACCCAACATCCAAATAGAGTCTTCATTACACCTTCCTCTTGTTTTGTTGACCTCTCTCTCCAATGCCCTTTCCCTCCACCATACCTCTGCTGCCTAATTCCATATTGCACTCTTGGTGAGGCAGAGGGAAAGATGTAAAAGTATTTGTTCTCTCTTCGAAATCTCTGTTTAAGCACGGCATTCTCAGACCGCCACCTGGTATCATTCCAATTTACTTCCTTGGCAGCCCTGCCATGCAGCGTTCTTCAGACCCATCAGACTTTCCCATCCATTGTGCTGTCTCAGTGTTTATCATCCTTGCTCACCATTCCCACTCCCACCTTGTGAAACCCTGACTCTGTCTAAACTCAGAGCTCCACACCTGCACCTGAGCAACTCATCCCTGATGAAGGAAACAAACCATTCTTCTGACCAATCGCATATTGAATTTTTAAACATAAAATTCGAGTAGGTCCTGCACATTTTCATAGATGCTTCCCAAATTTCCCAGGCTTCTTTTTCTTCCCTCTACTTAACCCTCAAATGTCCTCTCTGCCCTTCTTGCCTCCCATTTTACTGAAAAATTAGAAGCAATCACAAGAGAACTAACATACCTTTTCACCAAAAAATTTGCCAACCTACTTGCACTCAAAACCATACATTCAACTACCACTAGTGTGTCACTGGATAAACCATCCCTGCTTTTCCAAGTCCAACCTCTTTCCTCTTATCTACTCAAGGACTTACCTCCTTAAATATTCCCTATCAATTCTCAACAGCATGCAAATGTGTTCTCATATCTGCCATCATAAAAAAAAAAAAAAAAGAACACGGCCCACAAGTCCTTCCAGCTACAACACCATTTTTGTGTGGCCTTCACAAGTCAAAAATACATGTCTATACTTGATTCCTCACCCATTCTCTATAAAAAGTTTTATTATGAAATATGGCATACATGCAGTTTAGAGAAAAATATTACTTGTATTTGCATTATCCAGCTAAGAAACGGCATTGGCTCTGTATTTTAAAATTCCCTCATTCACTCCCCCCGGACCAAACCCCTCTCCCTCCCTGCCAGATGTTACATCTCCCCTAAATGTGACATAATCCTTTTCATGCTTTTCTTCCTGGCGTGATGCATATGCACACATACATGTGTATGTACGAGGTCTGACTATTGAGTTTGTGAACTCATCCTAGAAAAAGTGCTACACACCTCATTGCTGAATATGACTACGGTCACCTTTGAAGCTATGCACTGACGCCAGCGCCTGTGCCTACTCCATCCTTCAAAGCAATTTTGGGACTCTTTTTCTGCAGTGGCCACCAGAGCTGTCTGTCATATTACCCTTGATATTCTGAATGTC